ATTTCCACCGTTGCGTTGAAACTCTCCACGTTTACAAGCGGCAACACTGCCGCTGGACAGTTTCACCTTCTGGAGAGTTTCAACTCTTGACAATTATCAATCAGGTATATTTTCTTGGACAGATTCACCCCTCTGCTACTCCCAGAATATAAATTGAGTGATATTTCGGTGACATATTTGGGTGATCTCGTTCCCATATATCCCTTATGGTTTATGGTGCTGACGCGGGGGCGGGCTTATTCAGGGACTTCAGAGTGCAAAAAGTTTCAGGTAGTGTCAAAAGGAGATGCTTGGTGGGGCGTAACGCAGATTCTTAACTATGAGTAAAGTATTAAATTTTATACAAGCAAAATTTGAAAATTACCATATAAATATGAGGTTGCAACTAATATTGTGAATATAATCAAAAAAGGGTAAAACGTGGTGTTTTCTGAAAACTTAACAAGAAATTTTGATTTTTATGTTTGGGAAATACCTGCCATAAAAACACTATGCATGCTTATATTTTTTATTAATAAAAAGAGATTGATTTCAATCCCACTCAAATTAAAAAGCTGAGGCCTATTAATTACTTTATTGTGGGTTATTTTACATTCCGTTGCGTTTACATAAATTGGTTTAGTTTTTAGTTAAAAATCACTGAAGGGCTTTAGGTTCACTATTAATTGTCTCGTGGATTTTCTCTCCCGCGGCAAATAAAGGTTAAATTATAAATGAAGTATCCAAAATTTGTATACGTCCCTGAGTAAGAAATCTGTAATTTTGTTGTGGCTCAGCGAAGGTGGCAAAGCAGCTCATTCAACCCTTTGTATAATTTGTTGTTTGCGACCTATTTCTTGCTCCAAGGGGAGGTTGTGAGCGAGCCAGAAATGCAGTCGATGAGGCACACTGGCGCACACAAAGGAAACAATAAAAATAGCCCAAAGGGTTCGTGCGCTGAGCGAAAAAGATCTTCCAGGAGAGGCAGTAAAAGGAAGAAAAATCTTTTTCGTCTCTCCTGCGGTCTGTGGAATCAGCTGATTGCTGCAAAAATCCATTTCAGTTTTTAATTATTTGCAATTGTTCTTAACGCAGCAAAATTATAAAGCGTGCATCATTAAATTCTAAATAAATATTTTTACTTTGCCTGTTTTTCTCAAATTTTTCGTAATATTTGAAGTGTCATTAAAATTAAAAAATGTGGATATTTGATAAATTTTGGAAAAAAGTTTCTTTTACTATCCTGAGACGTTTATTCTAGAATGGTAAAAGTTTTGTTTGTAAAATTCTGACCAGCAGTTTTCTTAATAACACGCTCAATAGTTTTCCATTTTTGACGCGTTTTTTTTCACTTCGAATTTAATATTAAAAAAACAAAAAGGGTTATAAATTGCTCTGCAACAGAATTTTGTGCGCAAATATGTGCCACATATCAGGAATTTTTGAAACATTTTTTGGTACAAAAGAAAGTACAGTATTCAGCAAAATATGCTAATTTTTTAAGTTTTTTCTTTATAACTTGCTCGCGTTGACAACGAATTTTTTCAAAAAATTTGTAGACGTAGATAGGGCAAAAATGAAAACATCCATAAAATTTGGAGCTCACTGCTTTAATGGGAGATGAGAAATCAGCAATTAATACATTTGTCACGCCCAATTCTAGCGGCGCGAAAAAGCAGCCGTACGCTTATAGCAGAGTGAAGCCGAGATTTTAGATCACTTGGAAGCGAGAATTCAAATTTTTATAGCTTTGCTCCTAATTAAAATAAAATGTTCATTTTTGAAAAAGGGATTCAATTTTCTTTTTACCATCAACTTTTGTATCAAAAGTTTTTAGGTAACTTTATCTGGATCCTACATAATTGAATTTTAAGATTTTATGCTAATCAAAGAAATTTAATAAAAATCGAAAAAAAGTGAATTTTAAAAGTATAACAAAGAGATTATTTAAAATTTATATTTAATATATAGATTTAAATATTAACTCGATATTTCAAAAGAATATTCTCACATTCGCAAGATATTGCAAATTTATTAAATATTTTATAAATATTTATGGAGTTTTAACAATGTTATATTTGTTTATTTGGCATTTTAAATGTTTGACAATTTAAATATTTTAAATTAGATAAATGACAAACGAATTGTAAAAAAATCAAAGTTTGAGAGCAATTAAAATTGTTTTAATTACGACTAAAAGCTAAATTGCACACCGCGCTAGATAATTGACCAATATGGAAGTTTTAAATTTGATTCTGCTCCGCGTGAGAATGAAGGTGCATTAATTTTTTTAAATGAGAGCTCAACCGCATTTTATTTAATCAAAACAGAGAATTGAATCACAGGCTAAGAAAAAATTCCTGACACCTTGCAGGCCCATGTTAACTAAAGTGTTTCTTTCTCTCGCACAACCTGCAGAAGTTGTCAGCCAGAGCACTTTTTCAATGATTATTTGAGACAATGTTGATCAATCTGGGGGTTTTCAATAGAGAGATTGAAAGACCCCAGACGGCCGCGGGTGACCCAGCTGACCGCCATCACCGGCCCCACGGCGCCTTGTTGTTCGCGAGCCAGGTATATGTGTTGCGCGCTTGTCTTTTTGTCTTCTGGCTGTTTTTATGAGAAAATAATTTTATTTCCCATGGTTGCACAGCTCAAATTGAGCGATTGAGACTAATTCTTATGAGAACTGATAAATGACTACAACCCATAAGAAATTTGAATATAATAAGTATGTTTAAACAGCACTCTTTTGCACAAAAATGATAATCATTATTAATTAAACTAAACGAGTTCTGTTTTTATTTAAATAGTTCATCATAGCTCACTGTAAATGAACTTTTAAAATTTATTATTTATTATTTTATTATTTTTAAATTATTGATATATCAATGTGACAAAAAACAAAAGTTAAATCATTCCTGCAGAGGTTACTGCTGGGCAGTTTCAACCGTTGTGGCGAATCTGTCCGAGAAAATATACCTGATTGATTTAATTGTCAAGAGTTGAAACTCTCCAGAAGGTGAAACTGTCCAGCGGCAGTGTTGCCGCTTGTAAACGTGGAGAGTTTCAACGCAACGGTGGAAATTGTCCAGTACTGGAGAATAACAATTAGCAGCATTATTTACAAGTTGAAACTGCCCAGAAGGTGAAACTGTCCAGCGACAGCGGTGCCACTTCTAACCCTGGAGAGTTTCAACTCAATGGTGGAAACTGTCCAATATTGAAAGCATTAAAAGATACAAATAATTACATCATTGCAATCGATTATTTGTCCCTCTCAAAAAATATTATATACGATTCCATTTCTCACTATTCTTGGTCATGCCCTCACAATTCACTCCTCCCCATATAAGGGTGTGTTTTTTGTAAATCCTCCATCTTTTGGACGGTTTCAACCCCTGGACAGTTTCAACTCTGGACAGTTTCCACTCTCCCGATTTCCCGCTTGAATGGCGCGCAAATTTGTCGGAAGCGTTCAATTCCGCGAATCTTCTCTCCTTACTTTATTTCTTTTTTTCGATGTTTGTTTTTATTTCAGTCAGCCGAGACAAATCGCCGGTGTCAACACGACTCGATTTTTGTTACTTTTTTATAATCAGCAGCGAAAAAGGGTTCGTGGCGGCGTGAGTGGGAAAGGCGGGGCGATTTCCATGGGCAGTCCTCCGCCGTCCAATGGCGCCGCCGCCGACAAAAAACGATAAAGAAAGAAATAAAGAAAAAAAACAAGAAGTCCAATTTATCTAATCGGCCGTTTCGCTCCACAGCGGGCGACGACACTTTCGTGTCGACAACGCTACTTTTTTCCGACAACCATAACATTTATACAGTCTTATCTAATTTTCGCCTTTTTTGTTTCCATAAAGTTCTTTTTAAACAAACCGGGCAAATTAAAATAAATACATATTCTCTAAACTTAATTTTAATAATATTTTATTTACTTGAAATTTTTTTATTGTATTCATATCAAAATGTAATCACTGAAAATATTTTGTACCAGTGAAAATTTCATTTCAGCCCAAATAAAATTTTAAATGTGCTTCAATCTTCTTAAAATCATTTAGCACTATTGCAATTATTAAAAATTAAAAATGTGTTATTTTCCAGTCACATACGCAAATAATATAATGTATTAATTATTAATTAGTTTCGTCAAGAAAGTGTTTAATAAAAAAGAATTAGGGCATTGGTTGTTGTTAATCATGGATTTCAAAATTCAATACAAGGGACAGAAAAATTTTTAAAGTTAAAAATACAGCCTATGTTTTTAATTTTTATAGTGTGTTTGATAAAAATTTAATTTTTGAAATCTATTAATCTTCTCATTGCTGTATAATTAAAATGGAAAAATATCGTCAATTAATGATTAAAAAAATTATAATTTGACATAGTATAAAAATAATAAAACGTACGAAAAGAGCGGAAGAGCGAGAGCAAACAATTTTTAGAATGGAGCGAAGAAATTTAAAAATTTGGTGAGGGGAGCGACAAATCTGCTCAAAGAGTGAGAGCGGAGCAGGGAGCGGAAAACTGAGAGTGATGCCAAGTCTGGTTAATTAGGTTATTTCTTAATTTTCTGCAGAAATGATTAGACTTCAGACGGGTAACCTTAGAAAAAAAATGGATAAAGCACTATAAAAGGATTTATTATGTATAATACCTTTTATAGAAATCAAAATTCAAATGTTTAGGAATTCAATCGTTCATGTCTCTAATTGCAATTTGCCTATTACTTAACATAAACACCCGCAGTAATTACCTGTGAAACTAGCGAAAATAATTTTGTAACACACTGCATCCATAAATTAACTGAAAATAAAAACTAATTATTCCTGTCCTGTTCTGAAAAAAATATCATCTGTACTGACTGATTTTGCGATTCTGATGAACTGGTATAGCCCTCTGTGGGCGCTTTTGGTAATTACATCGAGCGTCGCCAAACCAAAATCAGCTGCAAAAACAAGCGGCTTCCACAACACGTGACACGTGTTTCTTGTTGATTGTTTCTTTGGTGTTTTAAGACCTTCAAATTAAGCTTAAATTAACTGGAAATCATGGACGTATCGGACATTTTCCGCAAGCTCTCGTCCGGCGCCAAATTCAACACCAAAAGGTTCAACTCGCACGCCCGCAAATTTCAGGTTTGAGCCGCAAACTAAATTTAATAAAGTAATTTTTCCATGTTAACATAAATTTTTGATAGATGACTAAGAAAGTCTTTGAGCCTGAGCCTGTGGTTAAAAATCCTCAAGTTAAGGTCGAGGAGGATGAGGACTTTGACCTGTCCGAGGCGGAATCAGACGAGGAAAAGACTGAAGAAGGTTGGAGTCTTAAAAATAAATTTGTGCTTTTTTTTAAACAATTTTTGTTTTAAATAGAAAATGAGGAGCCTGAGAAATCCGATAGCGAAGAGGAACTGACCCTGATGGGTTCTATCAAAGCTGGGAAGGACGGAAAGCCCGTAAAAAAGATCAAGAAAAAGAAAGTTCCGGAGAAGGAAAAACTGAAAATTCAGCATCAAGAAGAGGTTAAAATCTATTAATTAACTTTAACTCAAATTTTATCAATAAAAATTCTCAGGTCAACCGGAAAAGGAACCTGTTGAAAATGAGTGTGTGGACGAAGGAGAAGGAAAAGGCGGAGGGGGTGCCGGAGCCTGCGGAGACCTTCGAGCAGCTTGCCGAGCGCTACCACTTGGCCGAGGACCTGCTGAACAACGTCCTGAAAGCGGGGTACTGCGTGCCCACCCCTGTGCAGATGCAGGCCATCCCTGCCATGCTTGAGGGCAGGCAGGTCATGGCCTGTGCACCCACAGGGTCGGGCAAGACAGCCGCCTTCCTACTGCCCCTCGTCCACCACCTGAAGGCACCTTCAGGGGTGGGCGTCCGTGCCATTGTCGTCGCCCCCACCAGGGAGCTTGCCCAGCAGATCCACAGGTTCAAATTTACTCACACATTCAAAGACATGCAACGCTTAACTTGAATGTTTCGTCTGAAAGGGTCAAAGTTTCACTGTTTCTCTCAGCTTGTTTTTAAAATTCCCAAATTATTGGTATTCTGGAAGTTTTTTAACTGGGATAATTTGAAAAAGAAAAAAAAAGAAAACTTATATCGCCTCAAAACTTTATCCTTGATTGGAAAATAATTTAAATATTTTTTCTTTGTATGTAGGGAATGTTTAAAACTGGCTGATGGAAGACGTCTGCGCATTCATTTGCTGAGCAAAGTTAAGGAGCTGGTTAAAAAGTCTGGACCTGAGGGAAAGGTCAAAGCTGGTAATTTTTTTTTATTTTAATGTTAAATTTTATCTTAATTTCCTTTCAAAAATGTTAGACATTTTGATCTCAACACCAAACCGCCTGATCTACCTCCTAGAACAGGAGCCACCTGTCCTTTCCATGAAGAGGTATTTAATCTTTTAACTAAATTTGCAATGAAAAATGTGATGAATATTTTCAGTGTAGAGTGGCTGGTGGTTGACGAGAGTGACAAGTTGTTTGAGGAGGGTAAGCAGGGTTTCCGGGAGCAGCTGGCCAAGTTGTACCAGGCCTGCGAGAGCTCGAAGGTGCGCAGGGCCATGTTTTCCGCGACGCACACTAACCCGGTGGCCAGTTGGTGCCGCAAGAACCTTGAGGGCCTTGTCTGCATCAATGTTGGAGTTCGGAACTCGGCTGTTGACCTTGTAGACCAGCAACTCCGGTTTGTTGGCAACGAGGAGGGAAAACTGCTTGCATTCCGCACCATGGTCCAAGAGGTACCAATTCTAATCATAAAATTTATTCTTTCAGCTACTCGGAGACAAAAATTAAACTGTACTCAAGTCTTGAATTTTGATTCAAAAATGAATAATTTATGCAAAAGTGAAAGCAACAAAATTTTAAAGGCTCCTTTCTTTAAGATTTTTGAGTTGATTCAAAAAATTTTCCTTGGTCAACCCTTCACCTGTTAAGGATCATTGATCATTGTGATAGGGATAGAATTCCAAAAAGTCATATAGTCAAATTTTTGGTGAAAAGCCATACTGTATTGAGTTAATTGAAATGCTTATTACTGAATCAATACTTATCTATAACTGATTCATAATTCGTAAATTAAAATCTAACGCATTGAAAGAAACTTCTCTTTTTTTACTATAAAAAAATTCCATGCACCTAAAGTTGACTAATTTGAATTTTCTAACAAGGGACTGAGCCCCCCTGTGCTGATCTTTGTGCAGACCAAGGACAGGGCGCAGCAGCTCTTCCAAGAGTTGATTTATGACGGAATCAATGTCGACGTCATCCACGCTGGCCGATCTCAGCAACAGGTTGGATTTGTATTAAAAAAATCTGAATTATAAAAATAATAATATAATTTCAGAGAGACAACACAATCAGATCATTCCGAGAGGGGAAAATTTGGGTGTTGATCTGCACAGAGCTGTTGGCTAGGGGTGTTGACTTCAAGGGGGTCAACATGGTCATCAATTATGACTTCCCACCCTCGGCCATCAGTTACATTCACAGAATCGGCCGCACTGGCAGGGCTGGCCGCAGAGGAAGGGCCGTCACTTTTTTCACATCAGCAGACTCCGGCCACGTTAGAACGTAATTAAAAAATTTCCATTAAAATAAAAATGATGTGTAGGTTTTTTAAATTGTCATATTGTGTCATTTTTTTTATTGCAGAATCGCCAACTTGTTGATCAACTCTGGTTGCGAGGTACCTGAGTACATTATGAAGCTAGACAGGGCATCAAAAACGGAGAGGAAGGAACGGGCCATGAAGGCGCCCAAGAGGAAACAGATATCTACAGAGCCCTCCTTCGAAAAGGAAAAGAGACTCAAAATCAGGTGATCATTCAATTCAGTGAGAAAGTCTCATCAAGTAGGTAAAAATTGTGTAATTTCATTTCAGGCGGATCATGAAGAAGGCTAAGAATAAAGGCGAGAAAGCCCCTAAAAAGGATTAAAATTAATTACAAATTAAGGGGTCTTCTTTAAAAAGTGATTCTCTAAAGAGACTTCCTGTGTAAATATAAAATAATTTAATAAACATAAAAGTTATAAAAAAAGTCATATGACTTATGAGCTTGTAGAACAGTTTATTTGAGAGCAGCCAGCCATGTTTTTTGCACAGATTTTACGTCACTTGTGACGCCAATAATATAAGAGTTACATCAAAGTGGAAATATCTCTTGGTGGCACCACAACTGCGACCTAGACTTTTTAAACGCTCAACATAATATATGATATTATCATTAACTGGCCATCCAGTCGCGCCCTACAGTCTAAACTCTTAACATGGCGGATCCAGCACCGACTCTGTCGTCCGAGATGCAAAATACAACACCTTCAACGAGGTATGTGCATAAAGTTTATCAGAAAGATTTTTTGCTGATGGTAAAAAATGGATAGCTTTTATTCTATTAAACTGAAATGAGGAAAAAAATCTATAATTATTATAGCAGAAAATCGGTTCTTAGCTGGCATGAAAATGCAGCGCATTTCAGAATTCACCATTTTTGACATCGAATTTCTGATTTTGCAGCAAAAACCTGGGGATGGAGATACCAAAAGTGGCAAGAAATATTTCCGATGTCCATGCAAATCCATCCGAGTTGATTAACAACCCTTCAGAAGAAGCACTGATTTCAGAAGCTGCAGAGGCAAGCAATGTTACTAAGGAACAGCAGCAAGTCCATTCAAGCTTGTTGCACGAAATCAGTGAATTGAAAGCAGAGATTGCGACCATGAAGGACCAATTGATTTTGATACTAAGAGAAAATTTGGAAATTGCTAAGCAGGGCCTGCCTGCCGCCCAAGGGAACTTTTACAAGGACTGCACTCTGAACAACACCTATAATTTGCGTCCGGTGCTGCATGTTCCACAAGACTATGATGCACAACCTGCTGCCCCTCAAGTTGATGAAAATGATGAAGGGAAGGTAATTTATTTTTTTATCCCCACATCACGCAAATTAAACAAATATATACCCAAACTTTCAGAGTTGGTGGGATGACAGAAGATGCAGGTTGGCTGTGCGAGTTGTCGGCGGTGTGGTGGCTATGTACTTGCTGTCCAGCAAGGGGCCGTCCATCGCAAGTCACGTGACGCGTTCCTTGGAGGAGCGTATCGGAAACTTCATCTCAAACCAACTTGCCCCAAGGCACTCCATCTGCGCTTCGACGGCACCAGCGCCTTCCAGCTTGCAGCAGGCAATCCCATTGTCTGAACCTAATTAACCCAAAGCCCCAAGTAGTGACACATACAATTTTAAAGATTTTATAGCTGTTGCATAAAAAAAAGGAAATAATGTGAGATGTTTTGGTGAAACGAAGGACAAGTTTAGTAATTCTGCTTGAATTATAGGTATTTTAAAACATGTACTAAATCAGCATTTTAATTGATAACACGTGGATGTGAAAAATTGATTTTTGTACCGAAATTAGCCAATTTCAAAAACACTTCGAAAAGAAATTGTGATAGAAAAAGTGCATTGTTCCCTATTTGCTTAGGGTGATCTTTTTGAGTATTTTGTATCCTTCCCAAAACGCAGTCTGTGATTTATAGAACTCATAACTTCCATCTTTGATAATTATTTTCTCAATACTGACTTATGGGCGTCGCAATAAAACAATGTTTTCATACCTTAATAAAAAGTAGAAAATCATTTTTAAAACCCCTTAAAATTAAAAAATCATGGTCTTTCCGACGACATTTTCTTTATTTACAAGTTTTACAACTTTATCATGAACATAAGTGATGACAGACTTTTTAACTACAATTCAGTCAGGTGAGGAGTCTTTCTTTTCTTTCTTTTGACCCTTTTTTGCTGGTCTTGGGCCATAATAAGGTTGGCCTCTCCAGAGAGGACGAGCACCGTCTCAGAGAGCGGCGCGTCCTTTGGTCGGGCCATGACGGAGTAGCGGCACTTGACGAGGTCCATTTTGGCACCAGTCACCACAACAGAGACCTCAACAATGTGGCCCACCGGACAGGGGTTGGGGTAGCGCAGACTCTGGCTGTGCACCATGCACCCCGGCCCAGGCACCTGCGTGCCCATCACACACGACACTAGTGAGTTGAGGAAGGCCCCGTGGACTACGCCCCCCTCTCGGTGCACTGGGTTCAGGTCGCCGCTCACCTCGGAGAATATTTCCACGTCCGCCTGCGTGACCTCGCGGGTCAACAACCCCTTTTGTCCAATCTGCACTGCTGAGCAAAAACTACGGAATGCCGGGATTGGTCTAAACCTGAGCAGAGCCATTATTTGCTGACAACTCAAGCAGCAGCAGTTGGGCCAGGTTGGCGATCCTCTGGTTCGGATGGCCCGAAAGACTGTTTATTTCCTCCACCAGGGACTGCAGATCTGAGAGGAGGGTTTCAATAAATTTAAAACTTTTTATCAAGACGAAAAACTGCAAACCAATCAATGAAGAGGGTGTCTTCAGGTAAATCAGGGTGGTGATGGTATTGCAAACTATTTCCTGGTTTTGCGATTTCAACAGAGGCTCCAATCTTTTGATTCCGTCGTGCTGCAGGATGTACTCCTGATTAACAGGATCTGCAAAATTAAATTCACATCAATTATTCATTTATTTTTTTGTTTTTCATTTGCAACAAAATATTTTTTGGAAATAGAAAAAAATCCAGACAAAAATTGAAAATATAGGATATATCTTTAAAAGAACAATAAGCTCTCCTATCAAAATGTTAAAAAACGTTTGAATACATAATTACCAACGCAGAGGTTGCAGATTCCTCCTACGGCAAATTCACAGAGAGGTTCGTCGTCTTCAGAGAGTGTGTCGAGGAATAGGTCAATGACGCGGTGGAGGCGGAGGAAGTGGTAGTTGATGGGGTCGTAGGCAAAATTTGCCAAATTGGCCAAAACCTGTCTCTTGGCCTCTCGAGAGTCGCTCTGTTGAAATTCGCGTGCCAACTGCTCGAGGTAGTCGCACCGGCCGACGCCGAACTCGCCCGTACGCTTTCTCAGCCGCTCCTTCGAACTGAACATGACCTTTCCATCTGACCAAACCAACAACGCATAAAGTCCTTAACGGGTACTTAATTAACGCCGAAAAAGAAAAAGGGCAAAGATTAGTCAAAGGTCAAAGAAAAAAAGAAAAAAGTAAACAAACCAGCGTGAGTGAACGTCATGATTGGAGCACCCCTGGTGGATGTCCCGCGAATCTCGGCCCCCACATGGTTTTGTTTTGTTGTTATTCAATCGGAGATGATGGACTCTGCGGCTGATAGCGACCCTTTTGGCCCGTTCGAGATTGCCGACTGGCGCGTCCTGGAGACGGTCGATGGCCGCAGCTCTTGTCCGAAGTGCGCAAAGTCGCGCAAGTACTTTTGCTACACCTGCTACGTGCCCGTCACGGAATTGGAGGGAAAAATTCCAAAACTCAAAGTAATAATAAATTGAATAAACGAATCTTTCTTTTAATTTAGTACATAATTAAATTTTTGGTGCAGCTGCCGATCAAGGTGGACATCATCAAGCACGCCAAGGAGATAGACGGCAAGAGTACGTCAGCCCACGCGGCTGTTTTGGCCCCTGAGGACGTCACCATTTACACCTTCCCTTGCATCCCTGATTACGAACAAGACAAAGAAACCGTAAAGAATTTAATTTTCATATTAATTTGATGAAACCTTCATTAGATAAATAGATAGGCCGTTGACCAATCTTAAAGCCTTCTTTTATCACTGATTAAAAAAAAAACCATTAATGTATTATAAAAATCACCAATTTAATTATTTTTGAAATATTACACTGTATCTAATATTCACATTCATGCAGATTGTTCTGGTCTTCCCTGGAAAAGAAGCAGTGACCGTCGAGGAGTTCCTGTCCCAAGAGAGTCAGTCCTCGAATCAGTCAGGACAAAAACGACCAGCAGAATCTTCTAAGAGAAAAATCGACAGGGCGATTTTCATTGACAGCACCTGGAACCAGTGCAAGGGCATCTTCAAAGACCCCAGACTCAAAGGTTTTTTCCACTTTTATGTCATCAAAATTTTTTAATTAAATCATCATTCATCTCCTTTAACCCGAATGACTAGAAAAACTTGCACAAGCTTTGCCAAATAGAAAAATTCCTAAATTACGTTTCCAAAGCCTTGGCAGAAAAGGGAAAAATAAGCTTATGGAATATTGAGTTGAAAATTTTCCATGGAAATTAAAATTATTTTCAGTTAAATTTAAAACAACGAACAATAAAAGTAAAATTAGCATTTAGTTAATAATATTTGAACTGATTTGAACTTTTAATTTAAAGTAAAGAAATTTGAGAAAGAAAACATTTAATTTGCAGACCTGCCATGTGTTGTACTGAAGGCAAGAATCACTCAGTTTTGGCGGCACCAAGAGGGCAGTCCAAGGTGGTACCTGGCCACCGTTGAGGCCATCCACCAGCTCCTCCTTGAGCTAGACGCTGCCGACCCCGAGGCCAAGAGGCCTAAGACTAACTCGGTGGGCCACAGGTTTGACGACCTGCTCTTCTTCTTTCGCTTCATGTACGACAAAATCCACACATTGTACGACCACGAAAAACTCAAGTCATATAAGAGGCCCCTCAAGTAAACCCTCATCCTTTGTGATATAACAAGTAATTTAATAATAAATATATGGAGAAACTTACAGTGCTTATTGATTTCAGTTAAAATCAATTTGCAAGATCATTTATAAAATTTGAACAGCAAGCGGGTCAATATATTCTATCCATGCATACAACTAAATAATTTGAAAAGCAATAGCTGTTAGACGTATTTAAATCGTATTTAAAAATTGAAAATTTTTACCAAAAACCTTGTTCCTTTTATCAAAACCTGTTTATAAAACGCACTAAAATACTAAAATTCTGCACTTGAATTACAGATTAAAAAATGAAACGGAATTTTCAACACATAAACAGGGGATGAATTCAAATTTACAGTTAAATTTTCTGCTCAGAATTTGCCGTTATGAAATTTCATACCCCTATTAATCACTTCTCATCACCTATAATAAGGGTTGCTAAGGGTCTTAGTTTTTTTTTAAACCAAAAGACTAACAACTGTATTTTAAAATAATAACTAGATATTTAGCGCAATAGAGCAGATTTCATGGCATTCAATAGCCAAAAGCAGTCTCTGAAATGAAAAACCACTACTGATAATGTTCATCTCCCAAGCAGATGATATTATGGCCAAATGTGTTTTTATTAAAAATCAGATGCAAGTAAAATGGAATTTCTGTATTTCTTCTTGTGGGATGATACGTTCACAACTTCACACCCAGTTTGCCAGAATCCAATCCAAGTAATTTGTCAAGTCAGTGAAGAGGTTGAAGTGGTTTGGTTTGCATGTCCAGACTTCCTGGCCCTCTGCATTTTTCACTGATTTGTTTCGACCTGAGCTGACGATGCCACGCAAAAAGTATCTGTCCTTTTGATAATCGTAAAATGCAAGTCCGCCACCACTGTCCCCCAAGCACACACCAACTTCTGCATTATTTAAATAATTTCAATAATATAAATCTTTGTAATTCTATTAAAAAAAAAAAAAAAAAAAATGATAATAATAATACTAACGGTTTTCGGGGTTGCCTGCGCAAAAATTCTCCCTTGGGTGCAGATTCTCAGAAAAGAATAGCCTGCTGCTCTCGTAGCAATTTTGGTACGAAACTATTTTGATTTCTGCCTTTTGGAGAGCGTCCGGTTGTTGGTGGCACTGGTTTAAACCCCAGCCGACGACCTTTGAAAATAGTTAGTTTTTTTCAGCTGAACTGACTGATTTAGCAGATTTTAGTTTCTCACTGTCGCTTTGTAGTTAACGATGTGAGCAAGGTCGTGGTTGTAATTCCAAAGACAAATTGGTCGCACATAATTATTTATTTGCACCTCTCTGTCCAGAATTATCAGAGCCAGGTCGTTTCTGTTCCCTCGAAATACATAGTCAGGGTGCACAACAAAAGTAGAAGCCTGGAGAAAAATTATGATTCATGTATGTATGCAATAAATCAAGAATTTATTCCATTATATTCTGACTTCTGACATAATTGATCACGACAAAAAAATTTGAAAAAGAATAATATATTTAAGCTGTATTTCATGTTCCTGTTTATTAAACAGAACTCCATATTTTAAATTTTGTTTAAAAAATCATGCTGAAAATTTAGCATTTTTTCTTAACTTTTAAATGTTAAATCAGTGAAGGTATATTTTTTGCCAATTATAAATTTCTTTATCAAATATATTAATATAAGAACCACCTATCTGCACCTAGCTTATTTAAGAACTCATAATTGTCATAATTTCAAATGGTATGTTCTAATGTTCTGTTATAATTTGTACCAATAATTAACAAAAAAATAAACCTGAAATATTTGTCGCGTTTCCTCGTATTTTTTGGAGGATTGGTGCATTCCAAGTATGATGTAGATTCTTCTTGTTGAGCGTATGTTACTGAAATCGTCGACGACACAGTGCGCCGCTGAAACGCGATATCGGCAATTAAATAGAAATTTCTTTTCTTGAATCAAACCTGTGACGAGAGTTTTACTGGAAAGGAGTGTCGCGCCGCAAAAGTTAACCTTCTTACTGAACTTAGTTTCTGCAAGGCTGGCGTGCCAGGGGTGTTGACCTTTGACCGATTGTTGACCGTTTGTGATCAAAGGGTTGCGTGCGTCTGCCGACTTGTCGTTTTGCCTTCTGTGGCGTATTCGCGCTCTGAACCCGCAATGTGGAAAGCTCTCCGCCGTGCCAAAATCTGGAACAGCGTGGAAGTTTTTGAGCGAATAAATTAATTCTGCTCACCAGATTTATACTTTTAAATGGTTTCGCGTTCGGAATTTCGGGCATCATCGCCAGGTCGGCAGAAGCAGACACAATAGATCTAATGACGGGAGTAAAATCTATCCATACTCCATACGCTACGGCTGCGCGTAGAAACGAGCGGCCCCCTTTGGTATGGTACACAAAATGTTCAGAATCCTCTGTAAAATAATCAAATTATTTTTAATTGATTCATACATACAAACAAGATGTACGTTCTGGACAGAAACTAACCAGTTTGAGTGGATGAGCAACTTGCCTTGCCATACAAATAGCACTCTGCGTTGCCAGCATTAGGGCAAATTCCCCCAGGCAGATTAACGAGCTCAACAGTCCTATTGGGCTGGTTAGGAAAAAGAACAAAGTATCCACGCGTGACGCGTCAGACAAATTTGAATTAAATTGTCCAATTTAGGTTGTTATCCCATATTTATTTTTAATGATTTTGCGAATTTTTTTATTTTATTCTAAAAGTTATACTACTCCAGATAAAAAGAAATCGAATTTGTTTTAAGGAATATGAATATTAGTTGAACACAAAGGCTTTTTATAATTTTCCCCCCAGCAATTTATGATGATATTAAATAAAGTTGAAATTGGGTGGAGTGCCTTCTGCAATACTAATAAGGGCACAGGCCGACAAGACTTTGTCTTGGCCAGACCTTAAATAAAAATACTGACCAATGTCATGTTACTGTCGTAATAATAAAACTGTTGGGTAGAGTCAAATTGATTTTGTCTATTCCACAAACAGACGGGTTGCAAATTTGGCGTGAGGTGAAGTTTTGGTTCAACAGTCCAAATGGTGATGGCAAAAAATATGGATGCAACAGGGATCACCTTGAAGTTAGCATCCTAAAAATCGGTTTCCATTTAGAGTTGCAAATCCATATCAAAATAATAATAATAATTTTAATGAGGAACATTAAAGAAATTCGCTATTTGCACTATTTTCTAATTATTATTTTCTACTCAAGGTATTTTCTTACTTGGCAAACATTTATTAAATTTTACTTTTATTCTTTCTGGTGTATTTCACATCTTTTATGCTTTTAATTTCTCCATATAAGATCATTATTCTGTATCTTCTATTTCTAAATAAATCTTACTTATAAAAGAACAAAAATGTATCAAATATAAGAAATTGTATTGGCAATGGCAACATTGAAAGTATTAAAAATCTCACCTCTGTATTTACTAATCTTAGAAAACCACGATCCTTGAAGCAATTAATGTTCAAACATTCGCCACCGAAAATTGCAATTTCTTTTTCATTGTCAAAATCACTGCTCTTGGTCTGCCCCACTGTGAGACCCAACGTTAACTACGGCCAAGAAGTAAAAATAAACTCACATAAGACGATCGTTTGTGCAGACAAAAGAACTCCTTCGTTGATTTTTCCATTGATCACTACGTAGACAACCCATGGAGGAGTCTGTCCTTCAAACCAATTGCCGCAGTTTCCAAAACTCAAATTTTCTTCTTGGTTCGTGCGAAACACTTTTAAAATAAAAGTTATATATAATTCATGAGAAAAAAATAGCGAGATTAATAAAGCGATTTTCAATGAATATTTTATTAATTTTCAAGCTTTGAAAAAAGGGGTAAAGATTTCAGATCTCACTGATGTAATATACCTGGTGTAGGTGCAGATTTTTCATTTCCAATGTGTCTTTTTACCATGCAATTTCTGAAAGTTAAATTAATTAACCGATTTTTGTTTCTAGTTAATCTAAAATGAAAAAGTAAAATATTATGTGTGTTACTTTCCTAGGAAAACAGGCAGAAGCACTGCTAATGGTGAGCAAGCAAATCCACATGTAACTTCTTTTCATCTTTCACTTTGGATAAATATAATTATGTATGAAGCTGCATTATAACACTTGTAATTTTTTTCTCTAATAAAAATGCAGAAATAAGGAAAAAGGGATTTTATAATGAGGTATAACTATGCTTAAAAGATAATTAATGACTGTGTCAATTTTACCTTAGCAGTTTTCCCTTTTTCTGAATTAGGTGAGGGATTGGGTGTTACGAGTTCATATAAACTGCGAGCTAAAAAATTGTAGAGTTTGTGCAACAGGCGTGCTAGTGATATCTTCTTCACTGCAGCGGTTATCAACTCATGAACTTTCAACATTGAACTTCCAGCAATGACCAAATGAGGAAAGACGCAAATAAGGTTTTTCACATGATAACTTTTTTTCAAATAAAAATCGTTGAAGTTAAACATTTATTTTAAGTCCGACTACCCAATCCTGATAATTATAATTAGGAGACGACTAGCACAAATCTGCAACTCGCTCGCGTATGTATGGCGAGATGAAGTATGGAAAATCGTCAAAAATCCTTACAACACCTACAGAGATTTAAATTTTTGACACGTTTTCCTTGCAATTTTATGCTGGAAAAGAATCGCTGGTTAAATATGTTGTGAAAATAAAAAACACTGACTTTTTTAAGACACAAGTAAACGCTATTTAATTTTTCGACTATGATTATGATAGTTGAATAAATATTTTATCAATATTTATTCATTATGTGATACTTTGATGTGAGTAAAGGAAGTGCTTATAGAGATATATTTTACTCTAATGCTATTTTTAAAATATTTTTAAATTTTTTGTATATTCTTGGGCTGAAACGTTTATTTACAGTATCAATAAATTTTTTCCATTTTTAATATTTTACTTATGTTCTATCATCAATTTAAGGTTAAATAAATCCAATATTTAAAAGTTTTATATAAAATTCTATCTTTTAGTTAGGGGCTACTCGATGCTTACTTGTTATTGCAAGTCTCTCCAAAAAGCTTTTGAACTTTTAATTCTATTGGGAGATGGTTGAAGTTTAAACTGATATACATCACTATCAAGTTGGCGCAGAAGCTTAATCCCAATTTCATCACTTTCAGCGAATCACGAATTTTATTAAGTTTGAGCTCACCAATTACCTCCATTCTTTAAGTGCCATGAATTAAACCAAGCAAGTAATGTGTTCTTGTATGAATAAGGCGTCTAACGGCTAACATAACATCTCGCGATTGCCCTGATATAACAGTGATGCCAAACAAATATTGTAAAAAATGCATTATAATTCTAGAAATTAAAAAACAAAGTAATTAAAATTGGAAATACAATAAAGAACTATAAATATAATAATCGATGATTGTAGTAATTTGTTGGGTTGAAGTTGAAACAGCTTTGAACACTGTATGTCGTGCCAGAATGGTAAAATTAGTTTTACTGCGAGGTAAAATTCCACATTTCATCAATGTTTTAAATGGTCGTGCTGTGCAAAATTAGTGCAAATTAGTACCACGTTCTTTCAAAAGTACAAAGTGCCCATATAATTAATTTTAATAATGACGCAAAAGTATTATTTTTTTTATAAAATATGAACAGGAAAATATTTTGTACTCTTTTAGTAGGATACATTTAAAATATCTGCATGACAAATCCGTATTTTGTGGTAAACCAACAAATAATGCTCATTAAGAATAGCGGTTTCAGTGGTTTAATTACAACAAGATATTAATTTTTATACAACTTTCCTCACCAGTCTATACTGGTTACTGGTGCTGATCGACCATTTCAAAACCTCAATCATCCTGCTTACTAACCATTTATTAGATTCAAGGTACCACATTTTTTATGGGCGTCACTTCTTGCGATATAAACGCTGCCGTCAGCTATAAAAATTACTCTTTATTTAGCAGTGAACATGCGAGGACGGTGGTTATTTCTTTTCCTTGTCATTTGCGGGGTGAATCTTGCCTTCAGCAGAGATTTCTGCGACAAGTTGCAAAGGACCAAAGTGAGTGATGGCGAGGTGATTGCAGGAGGTGCTCTCAAGTCTTCGGATGGCACCACATTCAAGAATGGCACCTTCTGGAGAGACGGAAAGTTTTGGTGGGCATGTCCTTGTCTCAATGGGCCGTGCGTCCGACAATGTTACACTGGTACGCACATTTTTTTTCATTTGGCAACAAATCCTTCACGAGATAATTAATCCTTTATCTAATAAAGACCTGGCGATAAAATATAATGTGATGACGAAGGAAAAAAGTACTCGGATTAAAATTTGGGATGATGGAGTTGAGAAGGAGGTTGACATGGAAAAGCATTTTGGCGTAGTCTACGACGCGCTTTGCTATGCTCCCACTGAATTAAAGCCTGATATCGAAGTATTTGACGAATTTCTCATGTATCCAAATGGATCGATCTACTTTCCGCACCCAGAAATACCTGCAGAACATCGACTTATCTCCGACGCCATGTACTGTCTAATACCTATAGTAATTGAAAATAAGACTATAAAGAAATATGAAAAAACTAATAAACATTTTCAGGATGAAGAAAATCAAACTATATTGACTTGCTCAAAGGAGGAAGAACAAAAGCAACCCTCGAGTAATATGCGGTTCATAATCTACCCCGTATTTTATATATTGAGCGCGATTTGTTTGCTCCTGACGCTAATTGCATTTGTTTTGACGCCCGAACGAAACTCGTTTCACAGCAAATCTGTTGCTTGCCAATCAGGATGTCTACTAGTTTCGTTCCTTGGCCTCGCCATCACGTACTTAACTGGAGAAAAGAGTAACGAAAAAATTTGCGTAAATGTTGGTAATTTATTTAAACATTGAAAAAAGGGACCATTACTAAATATTTTAATGTGTATTCGCAGCGTACATCATGCACTTCTTTTTGATGGCGTCATTTTTCTGGATGAACGTCATGTGCATTGATATTTATCTCACATTTTCAGGGTAAGCGAAAAATTATTAAGTAAAAATTCCTGACGTAAATTTTGAAATTCAGGTCGATGTTGCAAATGCACAAAGGGAGTTTCCGCGTTTTTTCCCTTTACGCTTGGTGCGCACCGCTGGCTTTTTCCGCCGTCACTATTATTTTGGATAAAAACACGAATGATCTGATTTGGAGTCCGGGTATTGGAGATAAGAGCTGCTGGTTTAGAGGTATATTTCATATTTCATTATTTAAGTCCATTGCTATCAAAAATTTAAAAAAATATACATATAATCAACATATGCAGAGGTTTCGCTTTAAGCGGAGCGCGAGCGCAAAATTTCATGAGCGCAGCGCTCATTGCGCTGAAAATTTCGCTCAGCAAGTTAAAAAATATATATTTTCATTGCAATAATATCAATTAAAAATACATATAAAATGGGTTTTTATAATATAATCTTTTAATAGAATGTAATCAATCTGAGAATTCAGATGTGCAAAAGTTCAAAGTCGAGCATATGAGGTGGAAACCCAGGAAATGCACAATTTAGCTCTTTCATGGTTATGAGTTGCTAGATCAATAACAAGAAGGAAAGCTCGTATCATTATTTAAATACTTTAATATTATTTATAATTTATAATAGTGAACGTTTAAGAGAAAAATAATATCCTGCTCTACATGTTTTGGCTGCGGCTTTAAACAATAAACAACTCTCAAAACTCATTTAAGAAAAGCCTATAAATTTAAATTCAAATCACCATGAATCAACCCTCGATCGTGTAATTCTATCACAAAAATATAATACTTATTCACATTTGAAATTTTTGAACTTTTAATTAATAATTAAAATTAACTTTGAGCTCACGTGAAAAATTGCTTATAAATCAGTAAAAAATATAATATATACAACAATATACATAATAATTCGTAAAAGGTGTTCTAAAAGGACATCGAAATATTGCAATTTTTTCTAGATTATAATTTAGTTTGGGCCAAGATTTTGAATTTATTTGTTCCTTGGAAATTTTTGTATTTAATAAAATGATTGGTAATCTGAGTTATTTGAGCGCAGAGTGTGAGATGTAAAGTCATTAGCGCGAGCTCAAAATTGTTGAGCGAACCCATGTATGCATATAATTTAGTAAAGTAAATAAACAAAAGTGTTTTCTGATAACGCTTCAATTCCACGCCCGTGCAATATTGATAAATCCTAATAAAATATTAATTTTCACAGATTTTTGGCCAAATTTTGTGTACTTCAACGGTCCACTTTTGATTTTGCTCACCATTAACGCGTATTTGTTCGGAGTGACCGTGTGGCGTTTGCGGCAAAAACTGAAGGAAACGAGAGGAGTTCTGAGAAGAAGCGACAGTCAGGTGCACAACCGGAATGAGAGGAATCGATTGATTTTGTACGTGAAATTGTTCATGTTGACGGGCTTCACGTGGATTTTCGAAAGTATCTCGTGGGCCGTAGGAGGTCGGGAAGAATATTGGTACCTGACTGATTCCATCAACAACTTGCGAGGGGTCTTTATTTTCTGGTTCTGCGTCTTGTCAGACAAAACCATGCGCTACTCTTTGAAGCAGAAATTTTGGATTGAGAAAAAGAAGAAATTGCATATTCTTACCAAAGTAGAGCCGCAGTCGGGAGCAAACCACACTTCATCTACATCCACTGTCGTCTAAAAGGAATAATATGTACGGAAATATTCATATTTCATGACTTCCATGTAAAAATAGTGAATTCAGTTTTCCGTTTTTGGTAGTAAGTTTACCGATAGTTTTTTTTTATATCAATATGTATTTATTAATAAAGTTCTGTGCCACATTGAATCAGCAACTGCCAAACCTATAATTTTTTTTTTAGCGTGTTTTAATAAAACGTTTTCACATTGTGAAAGGAACTGCGCTTTTCTTTAATGACTGAAATATGAAAATAAATTTAGAAATTTGAATTCCTTGTAAAAATATATAATTTTGACGGTTATTTGGTGAGGATAATTTTTTTAAACAAAGTAAACAAACATCAGATTTTATTTTTTGATTTTGAAGGACGTGATTTTATTGCATCAAAAATTCGTCAAAAAATAACGACGAATTAGAATATTTAAGCTCACAAAAAAATAATCAAAGCTGGCGCAAACGCATCAGATGTGCAACAAAATGGATTTAATTTGTTAGTGTTTTCGCGCAAGAATTACAAAAATGAGGCACGGAGGTCTGGTGTGTTTTTGACGATCCATTCCATGAAATATGTCACGTCAGTGAAGAGCGAGTAGTACGCGAGGTTGCATTTTATGGTGACTGCTCCGTCTGAATCAATCGCTTCTCTGAGGCGACCCATGTTGACGACCCCGCGCAGAAAGATCCTGTCGCGTACTTCAAGAACAAATCCTCCGCCACTGTCTCCGTTACATGCGCCAGTATCTGATTAAACCGTTTTTGATTTTGTTTTGTATCGTTAGAAATAAAATAAGTTAGGGAGACTAACGGTTTTCTGGAAATCCTGCGCAAAAGTTTTTTGTGGGTCGAAGGTTATACGAAAAGAATGATCTGCTGCTCTCATAGCAATCTTCGTTGGAGACTACCTTGAGCTGCGCCTCCTGCAGAATACCTGGATAATCTGTTTCTGTCGTATAACCAAGGCCGACCAACTAATTTAATAATATATTTGAAAAGTTTGAAACGTTTCAAAATGGCACTCAATTTGATGCTCACCGTGCCAGTTTTGTTGGCAATCCTGCTCAGCTCGTAACCAAAGTTCCAAAGACAGATTGGACGCATGTAGTAATTGACAAGCACTTCTGAGACCAGGATTATTAGGGCGATGTCATTTTGATAGTCTTTCTTTGTTTGGCTGTAGTCAGGGTGCACCAAAAGTTTCGAAACCTGGATAGAATTTGTATTGCGGTTTCAAGGAGGTCGGATTTTGCAGAAAATGAATTGCCAAAAATTGAAAATTAAGTGCGTAAATATTTCAGCTTTCACCGAACGCTTGATTGTTGTGTTATTTTACCATGAAATTCTGCCGGTAATTTTCCGCCAATTCTTCGGCATTGTGTATTCCAAGGACAATTTTTAATTGACTCGATTTTATCATACTTCCATCATTCATAAAGAGACAGTGTGCAGCTGTAATTGCGTATATTTCAAATGAATTGAGTGCGCTCTAGCTGTATTTTTGAAGTTTCAAAATCTATTGAACGTTCTTTAAAGTATTTTTCTAATTTTTTTTTAACACACCTGGCCTTTAACTAATATATCATGTAAATTCATCAATGCGTCAAGAAAAAAATATTACCTGTGACCAGGGTCGTCTTGGAAATGAGAGTCGCTCCACAGAAATTGTCGAATCCATCAAAGGTGGAAAGAGAAGCGTGCCACGGGTGTTGACCCCTGACCGCATTTCGACCATTACCAACATGCGCTGAGCGTGAAGACTTCTCACTTTCCCTTGTGGCTCGAAGGTGACTTTCTTTAAATCCGCAATCTCGAAAACTTTGGCTCTCTCCAAAATCTAAGAAAAAAATTTGTTGTATTAGAAGAGGATAAAACAAAGATGAAAGAACTGCACCTATCTTCCTCTTCAGCTCAGGGGTTTCGGGCATGACGGCGAGGTCTTTGGTTGCCAAGACGATGCGTTTGGTGAAAGGAAGCAGGTCAAGCCAGGCTAAAGTTTCAATTCCAACCAAAGCGTCAAGTCCACGCAAATAAAAGCGAAATCCTCGATGGATTAGCAGATACTGAGGATAGCCCTCTGAAATCACAGACATTACATTTTTTTTTATGGAAAATGACTTGATTCTTGATTGACATACGATTTTTTGAGGTGCAAATTGAATTTGTGTACATGTCGCACTCCCTACTTTTGATTAATCTGTCTCTGAAGCAAACATTCTCCTGTTGAAACTCGGTTTTTGTAATCTCCAAGCCCTGCTCAAGAAAAAATTATTAATCACTTGGAAATAATTGAAAATTTTCAATTGTGAATGCGCATAATCGGTGAAAATGAAAAAATTCCGCGAGATACGGCGACTTGATTTTTCACCCGGGCTCGTCGGTTCCATCGGAAAAAATGCCAAGTCTTGCCCGCGTCATTCTTGTTGTCTCCATTCCACAAGCACAGCGGCTGCAAACTTGAAATCAACTCAAGTTTTTCAACTGTCCAAATGTGCACCGATGCTAAATAAAAAGAGCCAATTTGTACATCCAATTCAACCACATCGTTTAGCTGAAAATCGTTTTATATTATTCAAGTCAGAGTTTGCACTGCTCAAACATGACAATATACAAAATAATGTTGTAAAAAAATCTATAAGTCACCTTCTGACGGAGCAATCCTCGCCCCTCGAAGCATTTTTCTGCGTCAAAACATTTTCCACCGAAAATTGAAATTTTATTTCCGTCTTTGAAAGCACGATACATTTTCTTCAGTTCAACTGAGAGCCAAAAATATTATTTTTAAATAGGAGCATTTGAAAAACCAAAATTGAAATTTACCGGTAAGGATTGTTTGATCCGATAAAATGACACCATATGCATGACCCGCATTTTTGATCGAACCATCGTCTCTCAGGTAAACAATCCACGGAGAGATTGGATTGTCCGCACTTCTATTCCACAAGCCACACTCTTTGAAACTCAGATTTTCGCCGTCAACAACACTGAACACTAAATTTGGAGAAAAGCTTTGTTCAAGGCAATTTACTATAAAATCAGTAATCATTGATATAAAGTTGATGATAAAATTTTACATTCAACTAAAGGGGCATAAAAACCCATTAAAAAAAATGTAGTACCTGGTGCACTTAGAGCAGATTTATTTCTTGCATAATTTTGGCAATCAGCAAACTTGAGTACCTATAAAATCTTTTCAATCATTAAGTCTATATATAAAGAAGCAGAAAATAATTTAAAAATTGTTAAAAATTAATTACGAATGAAAAATGAGATCAAACATATAATATTATAATTATATAATTTTGAATTTAAGATGATTCCTTACTTTTAAGTACATATATTTCGGAAAAAAAACTCACTGATTTATGTATATTTAGTATATCTACTACATCTTATAAAAAAATGAAAAAAAAATTCCTTCAGCCAAAAACTGCGTATGTTATAAAATGTATGACCTCATGACTCTCTTCATTCCTAATATTGGCGGCGGAAGAAGCGAAATACATGCAGAAGACGAGCAATGAAATCCACGCAACAGCCTCAATTTCCATGTTCGCAATGAATATTTAAATAGGAAAAACTGGATTCCTAATTTTGAAATAAAATTATGAATGTGTATTAAAAAAAATCGATTTGAAGTCAAACTTGCAATTGAGTAGAAAATTTTCAAGATGACGATAGTGGCTAAAAGATGAGGCGAAAGCGACCGTTGCCTCACAAGCAGACGTTTTATCTTCACTGGTCGACAATTGACTTATTGACTTGTGCCCCGCACATTCGACGATAACATGATTGGCACCGAATTTTGCTTGTGAAAGAAAAAATAAGCAAGTTATGCAACCGGCAGGGGTTGCCTGTCGACCCGGTTGCATACAAAGAAACAGTTAGTAATTTTTCATTCATGAAAGAAACAATATTTAAAATTAAAAAAAATAATAATAATAATAATTGTTTATCCCTCTTGGGAAAGGCACCAGTGGTAGCAGACAGGCCTTCTAAATCGCAAGGGCCAATAACTCGGACCCTCCCCTTTCGGGGCCAATAAACTTTACATAAATTAATGTAAATAGTATGTCATAAATGATTGGATGATTCACGACATTTAACTCTGGCACTTATTTGGCAAGTTGAAAAATTCATAATTTCTGCCTACTCTGAAAATTCGAAAACCATCTTATTGTACAGATTTAATGCTTAAAAATAATATAATTCAAATATTAAAAAATTAAATCTGTAAGTTAAGTTGAAGTTGTACTCAAATGAAAAAAAACTTATTATTTTTTTTTTGCCTGTCTTAATCCAAGAAATAAATTTTCCGTCTCTCAACATCTTTTACTATTTTTTAATCAAATTTTATCTAAAAAATTTGCATTTATAGTTAATTCAATATTATGTAAACTGGATATTAAAGAAACCAATTTTGTGATTTGTGCAGAGAGTGGTAGCAGCGGCGGTGGATTTGTAGTTAAAAGCGAGGGAAGGCTATTTTTGCGTGGCGTCTTCAGCAAGGGGCCCGTCAAGAAAGTGTCAGTTGAGAGAACAGCAGAGCAGACATCAAATTACTACGCCATTTTCACTGACCTCACAAACTATGTGGAATGGACTATTGAAAACACCCCAGACATTTCTCTGTAGGAAATTACCATATGGATCTGCCATGAAAAAAAATTAATAAACATTTTCAATCAAAAATATTTGCTAAAATTTATATTCATTGAAGCAAATCATCATCATTAATAGCCTGAGAAATTTATAATTATTCAATTATTGAATAAAATTATTCCAGCATCTATGTTTCACGTTCACGCTCTATTTACTATACTTTACTTAGAAAAAATAAAGTTACAGTTGCTTGTTTTTTTTCTGAATCAGGTAAATAATTATAAAAAAGTAGCCAAAGAAATTTAAGGCAAAGTAAAATTTGTAAAATCGATGCTGCAATTTCTACAGAAAATTTTTCATCCGCTTTACAAAGAGAATTTGGTGAGTTTGAAATTTGAAGCCTGTATAAGTGATGACAATTTTAAGAATTGAATAATTGATCAATTACTCGTCGCATCTTACTACGCCATCCGCCGCTTATTGTATGCAATCAGTGTCAGTTCATCTGCTGCCACCACCACTCTCTTTTTGAGAGATTTCTTCACTATATACATACGCATAGAGAATGGGCATTCTTAGATTTGAATTCATTGTTGCGGCACTTTTGATTGCTGTTTTGTTCAAAACTGGAGCAGGTAAGAAATTGCTCTTTTATTTTCGTATCAAATAGCTAGATGAATTATATTTAAGCCAATTTCCAGCAAAATGTTATGGCTAGTATCGTGGTTAAGTCCCAATTTTTGTACAATTCAATAGATGTTTGGTCAATAAAACCCTTTTTTATGGTCAAGCAAATAAAAAAACTATATTGAAAATGTATTTAGAATTTCAGAGATCGTGAATTTCTTTTCATCCATACAAAATGAACTTCTGCATGTTTCAGACAGCAGCAGATCTTCAGATCTTGACAATGGAAGGGATCAACGCATAAGTGAGTTTTCATTTTGCAAATTTATTAAGGTTAATTTCGCCTTGATTAGACTTATCACAAATGAAATTTTATCATCAGTGCTGTGTTATCTTTGGTAGGTCACAGAATAGTAGCCGCGCCTGACAATGCTTCGAAATGTTTGAAGTGCTTGCAAGATGCTGAGACGGCCGGAAGTAATCAACTCAAAACAGAACAAGCAAAACAATGCTGGATGAGATTTAAATTTTGTCCACCACAATACACCTTGGATAAGAGGCTCAACATGTGCAGAAAAAAGGACTTGAATTCACATTTTCTGCCCTGACATTGAAAATTAGAAAGCCACTGAGGAAAAATTATGAACTATTTTTCTATAATTTTTATAATAATATTGTTAGCACGTTTGGCATTTATACAAAATCAAATAAATATTTGCAAAAGTAAAAATGATTTATTTTAATAAAACAAGTATGATATCTTATTGATGAGTAGCGGAGGTAATTGATATTCCGCTTTGGGCAGCTTTTGAGAAAAAAACGACGTTTTCCACCTGGACGGAGTACGCCAAGTACTGAATCATATACATCCGGAGCGGGATAACATAATGCCAAGTAAAGCCGTTCTCTGCACAACAGTCTAGGCCCTTAAATTAGATTAAAAGATTTAAAAAACTGAAAAATCCATTTACTATTTTCCATTTCTTTGAAACAAGCGGCCCGGTTTTAATTTATCAAGAAAAACTGTGAACAGGTTTGAAACGATAACGTTTTAATTGTAAGTTAAGAAATTTTATGAAAAGTTAAAATGCCTGTATTATGCAATAACAAAATGAAATTTTGTTTAAATTAGAGTTTTAGTAGTTTTTTAAAAACACAAACCCCCTTTTTTAAGGAATTTTTAAGGAAATGCCTTTATTTTTAAAACGGTTGAATAATTTTCATACGCCTTTTAACCTCAGCCCTTGTTTAACCATTGCTCGTGGAGACAAAATAAATATGAAAAAAGTGCAAAGATAAAACAAAATAGAATAAAATACCCCTTTGACTGGCCACCACTGGTTCTGCCTGTACCACGGGTTCATTGTTTCCACGGCGTCTGGTTTCACGTTCAAATCGACGTCGTAGCAATGCATTCTTGTGCGCCCTCGGAAGTCTCGTGTGTCGTCCGGCACAATACCGACGGCGTACAGACATTGTGCTATTTTGTGCGAAAACATTGGTTTACCTTTTCACCGGCAACCGAAAATGAATTTCACCAATTTTGACGTCGTCTGCCGAGTCGGAAAAAGCGACGGTTGGGCAGTCTTTGTGTTTGCCGTCAAACGCCATCGTCACAACCCTATCCAAAGCCGCTTTACTTAAAACAATTCCTATACATGGAAATTATTAAATGGATTCAAATATTTTTTGCTTGCCTCCTCCGCCACTGAAAAATCCCGCCGGAGCGAAAGGTAAGAATCTGTAGCCGAAGAATCCCGGCTTTTCGGGATTGTATGGAAGAAGCATTTCTCTGATGCCCTCTATTATTGCGTAGCTGAAATTTCAATTACTTGTTAACCATGAGCAATTATCGAATCATTACGAATCGTCGTCAGCTCGTAGAACCCAATCGTACTCGTCTCTGTGGTGTTTTTGAACGTATTTGTAAGCACCAACCACCTTCGTCCACAGCCCGCTTCGACCAGGCTGCACTTTATCTATTTTTATCGTTGGTACTTCTGGGTCTGCGGAAATTGTATGAGAAAAGCTCTCTTGAATGACAGTTTTCATTGCTAGTATGTACATTTTTAAAGGCACATGTTGCTAGTTGCGAAACTAATAAAAATATAATAAATATTAAATAAAAAAAATTAATAAATACACTTGTTTTATAAAATTTAGGCAGTACAATTGAGTAAAATATTAACTAGCCCTGTTTTGAGCAATACGAAAAATCAATATTAATGAAGTAAGCTAATAAATTTTTGAGCAAACAAACCTAATCAAGTGTAATGATATTTATGATGCATATTAAATTTATTAATTTCTACCTTCAGTTTCACTGAAAAAGAGAAGTTTATCGCAGTGCCTGCCCCAAGTTCTCTTCACAGTTAGTGCTTTCGTTTTGTGAGTGTGTTTTGCTGTCATAACCCAACACAGAATTCGCATTCTCCTCGCCAGTTCTGATCCTTGCACGTTTTTAGCTTCTGAAAACGAAAGATAAAACCAAAGGCACTTTTCAGAGCTAAAATTTTACTTAATTTCAATTGTTTAGCTACACCGAGGTTTCTGGACACCTGCTTTTGAACAAATAGTGTGTCTATTGATATTTTTGGCTTAGCCTCTCCTCTGAAAAATGAGATTGCGAAATAAAAATATATTTTAAGTAAATGAAGTGTGTGAGTAACTTGTTGTTTGAGCTGCGGATAGCCACGACCATGCAGATTCCAATGAAAAATCCCAGCAAGAACACAAAGTAGCAGTTGCACCAACAACCCTCCATCGCAGAACTGTCCTTTCCCTGCTTTCTGTGTTGTGCCATTTTAAAAGTTGCAAATACTTAAAATTCACACAAGGTTAACAAGTTGCAAAAGCCTCTGTTGTTGTAGACGCACCAGATAATACTGTACGCCGAAAAAAATCTGGGGAGTCCACCGAGGCGTGAAGCTGTTTCCTGATGACGAGCAGATGACGAGCATAAAATCCGATAAAATCATTTTTCTGTTTCAATGCCTCTTTTGAAATATTGTAAAAAGATGCCAAAAAATTATGTATATACAAAAAATAGTAACGAAAAGGTATAAGAGATCACAACAAATTTGTCTGCTTCAGTCTGTTTGATGATTGAAAAAACTCAAATGCATACTCTAGTCCTGTCGAGTTTTTCTTTACAACATGTATGTATTTTTGAAAGTAAGTCAAATTTATATTTTTAAAGTAAACAGCAAGACTAGGAATAAAACTTAATTTATATAATCAATTAAAATTCAAGAGCGTCTGTGGCATAAATATTATTTTTATGAAGTCGTACAGTAAAATAAATAGTAAATAACAATATTGGTCGCAGTATTTTCACAATATCAAGCACTCAAAGGATGAATATCAGGGGTGTTGTCAACTATCCAAGGCAAGTAGTTGGTGACGTCGGTGAACAACGAGTACAGATTGGGGTTGCAAACCTTGGTCACGTTTCCATCTGCCCTGGTCACCGTTTTCGTGGGCCCCACACCGAGGACGCCGCGCAGAAAGTGGCGTTGGTACCTTTGGTTGAAGAGCGAAAATCCACTGCCACCGTCTCCTACGCACACACCCCTTTCTGCAATTCAACTTGGTAATCCTTGGTAGATAAAAAGCATAAAAAAAAACTCACGACTGTCTGGAAAACCGGCGCAAAAGTTTTCTCTCGGGCGCAGGTTCAGTGAAAAAAAGCGGCGCCTGCTCTCGTAACAATCCTCATAGGAAATCACTTTCATATTCGCCTCCTGCAGAATTTCTGGCTCAGTCTGTACATCTGAAGTTAATCCCCAGCCGACCACCTGTAGAAAAATTTTGATTTCAAATTATCAAAATGATCAGAAATTCAGATCTATGTCAAATATTAAAAGTATTTTTTTTTTTTTTTTTTTTTACTCTCTGAATATTTAAAAATAAATAGTGCAATAATTTAAACTTTTGATAGCTTTAAAAATTTTAAAAGTTTGTGTGCAAGAACAATCCTGATTTCCCAAAAATGACAGTAAAAATAAACATAATTTTTGTAAACTGGGGCTTTTATTTTTTCGTTTCCAAAGCGGTTGAAACTCTTTAAAGCAAAATAAATGTGATGGAACGTTTCGATTGATATTGGATATTATAAATATTCCTAGAAAATTAAAAGTTTCACTTTTGAATTCTCTATTTGTTTTTGCAAAGGTTGGTTTTTTTGTCTTGTAAATTGTAAAAATTTGAGGGTATTTAAGAAATAAAAGATTAATTTATAGGCTAAATTTTAAAATAAGTTTTGGAGGATAAATAATAAGAGCTACAGTTGAACCTTTAAAAATGAGAAAATCTTCTGTGAAATATTAAAAAAAATCCTTATTTTAAATTAATCGATTTAAGGTTTTTGCGCCTACCGTGCCCGTCCTGTTGACGATTTTATCAAGACCGTAGTTCCAGTTCCAAAGACAAATGGGCCGCACGTCTTCACTGAACTGAACTTCGTCGCTTAAGATGACGAGGGCAATGTTATCTTTAAAGTCGCCTCTGCTGTGGTTGTAGCCAGGGTGCACCAAAACCCTGTAAGCCTGTCGGGATCATTTTTAGTTTTTTTTTCTACAATCTTTTAATACAATGAAAGTTAGGAAAAAATTAATTCTTAATGCACAATTATTTTTGTTTCTATGAAATATGTGGTAATTTGTTCAATCAAGTGATAATTAAGTTATCGTCAATTACACAGAAAGAAGTTTAAGAAAATATAAACCCATAGGATCAAAAAAAAAGTATTTAAAAGAATTATAAAAAGTTTTAAGTATAAAAAGGCGTAAGTCAAAAATTTATTTTAGAAAAAGTATGCAAGTTCCAAATTAATGTTTTGATTTCCAAACATCTCGTTTCAATCAAAGAAACAATCTTGTGCATTAAATACCCAAATTTTTTGTAAACCCAATTTTCAACACAGCGAATTAAATTTGAATTTGTGATCACTTATACCTGCAATTCTTGTTGCAAACCATCGCGAGCATCCGAAGAGCGATTATACATTCCGAAAGTTACGTCTACGTCTCTCGCTCTGAAACGAAATCCATTTTTGCCGTAAAAACAATGTGCCGCTGAAAAAATTCATAGTCAGTTTATAAAATTACAAAAAAAAAAAATTATCAAATATAAATTAAACCTGTGAGAAGGGCCTTTCTGGAAATGATGGTCGCTCCGCAGAAATCGATCAACGGTTGTTTGCCAGTGCGTCGAGTCAGACTGACGTGCCAAGGGTGTCCACCTTGCTCCGCGATTCGCCCATCAAAAGTCGAGTCATCAAAATCTCCTTCTTCTGACAGAAAATATTCCTGGTTCGCTTTAATTCCGCATTCGGGAAAGCTCTGGTCGGGCCCAAAACCTGACGATTCAAAATTTTGCTTAAAATTGTTATTTCTATAAATAGGAAAACCTGTTCTGGTTTTGAGTCTGGGGATTTCGGGCATTAATCCAAGGTCGACGGACGCCGATACGATTTGCTTTGTTGCGGGCAAAAGATCGAGCCACTTGACAGGTTCATAGAAGATCGAAGGACCCACCGCGCGCAAATAAAACCGACCATCACGCTCGATGAACAAATACGAGGGCCAGTCAACTGTCAAAATGTAAATTAGAATGAAATCATACATTTCCACTATTTACAGTCACCAATTTTTTTAGCCAAATGAGTGAATTGATAAATATGGCGAATTTTATAAGAAAAAAACCTAATCCGCAGGCTTGGACAAATAAATGAAAAATAGTGTAATAAAGTTAATAAAAAAATTAAATAATTAAATAAAAAGCTATTTTGAAGGTCGACTTATTGATGTACCTTTTTTAATGAGTGACGAGGAACAAATCGATTTCCCGTACAGGTCGCACTCCCATTTGTCAATATTACTTCTTCTGTAACACGTTTCCTCAGGTACAAAATCCGATTTTTGAAACATTGGTCCTCTCTGTTAGAGAATCAATAGAATTTTATTAATTTTTAGATTAAATTACTCTAAAATTTGAATTTATAATTTGAAAAAATATTATTATATTTTTTTGCAAAATATAATTTTTAATAACATATAATTTAATTGATAGACATTAAATGCTTCATAAAACGGCAAAAATGTGTAGCTGGATGCCTGGATGCAAAAAAATATTACAGAGAAAATCCGAAATAAAAATTTTACTGACTGCTTGTCCGTCGAAATTGAAAATGGTTTGATTCGAGTTGTCCTGGTTGTCTCGGTTCCACAAACAGGCCGGCTGCAAACTCGGCGTTAGTGTCACTTTCTCGATTCGCCAAACGGTGATGGTTTTCGAGAAATATCTGCCGTGCCGCACTTCCACTTTTTTTACCCCAAGCAACTGAAGTATGGAGTAATAATTAATTTTTTAAATCCTAATAATTACACAAGTTTGTTGCTTACAATTTATTATCAAAGGTTTTACTAAAATATTTTTTGTTAAATTCACTAATGGATATTTTGTTATAATTATAACATTTCTTATAAATTTGTAAATAAATAAATAAATTTAATTTTTGTTTAATCCAATAAATCAAAACTTTTATCGTTTTTTTAAGTCTTCAAAGAAGGGATAAACATTTTTGATTGTATACCTTTTGGCTGAGCAAACCTCGTTTCTTCAAGCACGTCTCTTCGTCCTCCTCATCGACGCACTCGCCTCCAAATAATTTAATTTCCGCTCTATTTTTAAAACTGTTGTAAAGAGCATCGGATTCATCTAGCTCAAGGAAATTGCAAATTTTTACCAAATAAGATTTAGAATGTGAGATCTAATGAAAACACTTGCAGTTCATGACAAATGTCTGATCCGACAGAAGAACGCCCCAACCATGAAAAGCATCGTTAAATTTGAAGTATAAATGCCACGGAGGCGTTTGACTTTCTTCGCTCAAGTCCCAACGGCCGCAATCTTTGAAACTCAGATTTTCTCCATCAGTTAAACTGAAAACTGAAATACAAATTTTCATCTAACACAATTGAAACTGGTTTACTTTTTTTAAGTCAATTATTTTTGCTATGAATAAAAAATGATAAATTTATTTTGAATTTTACCTGGTGCTGGAAAGAATAAGTTTTTCCCATAATTCCAACAATCAGTTAAGTTGATTTTCTGTTAAATTGAAACACAGCCATTATTTAAGAAAAATATATGAAACTTTGATGTAGTGACGAAAAATTAATTAACTTACCTTTCTAGCTTCGCTCCACTCTTCTTCACTCAATTTGGCAGAGATCGGAGCAAAAAAAGTGCAGAGGGCGACCAACCAAATCGATCCACGGTTCATTGTCACAATCTTGAGTTAAATTTCAAAATATTTTCAGTAATAATAATCATATTTTTTCAATTTCGATTAAATCGAGATAATCAGTTAGCTATTTTATCTGTTTGCCAAAAATGAATGAAGTTTGATAGCTTTTTGTGTGTCTATACCTTTCCTAACTGGCAAAATATATTAAAATTAATTTTATAATTATTTCATTATAAAATTATGTTTGGGAATTTATAAAATATTCCATGGAAATGTCATTTTTTTTACACCAATAGCTTTTACTTTAGATTTCTAACTACATTTTAACCTTCACCCAAAATTGATTGCAAATATGAGATTTTTTTATCAAAATTAAATAGTAAATTATTTCAAAATATACTTGCTGTGATAGCGACGGATCCGCGCCTTGTTTCGAGGAGATGCAACATAAAAGTAAACTCCGCAGTTTGTAGCACGAATCTCAAGGTAGATTGACCCCAAAAAATGGGAGACCCCACCGTGAAATAATAACGGCGAATCCACATCACTGTCCCACTTTAAAAAATGCAATCGAAGATGAAAGTGGAATTTCTTTCTTGAGTCTTCATTGATAGCGCGCGAGATTATAAAAGTAAAACTAAATGTAACTGTAGATGATGTGAAAGATTTGATAAATCTGATAAATTATGGAACTAATTTTTATTGCTTATTTTATTTTAAACATTAAACAAAGTAAATAAGATTGTAAAAAGAGATTTTTTTTACAAAAAGTGTTTATGCCATTTTTGCGGTTATCCTTTATCTTTCAAAATTTTTGACCTTGGGTGGCCTCCCGGGATATCCTCTTTCACAATCTCAGTCGGCAATAACATCCTCGTCCTATTGAGCTGCTTTTATTTAAAGCGTTCGCTTTTCATTCCAAATTACGCATTTCGAAAATGAAGAGCGCCCTGTTGATGTCGTTGGTGGTGCTGAGCTTCCTTTTGGTCGTCGGCCTCGCCGCCCCTGTGGAGGATGGCCTTCTGGACCAACAACTCTGGATGAGAGAGAAACGGCGCATTTCGCCGCACTCCGCGCGCAGAGCACTCCAAGAAGCACGACGACTCCAAAAACTCAACCCTCAAGATGTGCCGAGGGGACCACCAAAAGTAATCTGCACGACGACGGCGAACGGCAAGTGGTTGAAAACCAATTGCGTCAACACGTAAAAAAGGTTTTCAGATTCTTTGAAGTTTTATTTCAATATTGGTTATTATGTATCCAAGAAAATAAATAACTATGATTTTGAAAATAAAAAATAACATCGTTTTATATTTTTTAATAATTATCCTTTAGCTCATATAATAGTTCAGATTGATTAAAACGTAAATCATTGTTACAAAGAATGAAGTCTAAAATAAAAAAATAATTGAAATTGCATTTCGAATAAAAAAAAAATATTATGTACACAGCAGCACACAGTAGGTATATAGGAAAAAGTTACCGGCAGATTTCATGTTAATTAAAATGTTAAGTTCAAGATAAAGTTTATTGGTGTATCACAAGGCAATCTCTGCCTATAACGAGACACATCATCCAATTGTGCAAAAAAAGTGTTAATTATTAGCTTAAAATCATTTTTCTGTACTATACTGTTAATTATAATTTTTTACATATAATTATCAGCAAATTGCTTAAATTGCTCACGATCAGAGCATTTATAAACTTAAAAAACATAACATTTCACATCATTTAATATTACGTTTGCTTTTATTTCGTAGCAATTTTAGCGGAATGAAAAGAAGAAGAAAACCAAGTTCACCTGATAGCCTGCTGGAGCTTCCAGTTGGCTTAAATTTTAAATGTTTTTAATTCTTCACCATTAATAAAAATTGTCTATTATTAGTTCCAAATCAGGTTTATTAATGCATTATTACATGAAAAAAATACAATTAAAAAATATTGTCTCTACATGTTCACTGAAAAATAGATGCATTTTTATTTCTCTTATTGTTAGTTACAAATTATGGTTTTAATTTTCACCTCTTTTTATGATATTAGTTTGCAGACAAGTGACTAGCGAGATATTTAAAGCCTGTATCTGAATATTGCGGAATATTGTAATAGAACAAAAGCTTCTTTTTATTTCAATGAAACGCTTTATTCTAGTTCCTTATAGTATAATTATTTCTGAGATTCTTTTTGAGCGTTTGTAACACTCTCAATAGCTAGAAATCATTTTTTAAGATTAAACTCGTGCAAATGTGGGCTTTATTTACCATTTAATTAAAAGGACAAGATGATATTTTAGATTCAACATTCCAATTCCAACTTAAATTATTTGTGTTTCTGTGCAAGATAAAAATCTAGTGCAAATTGTGCCGCTAAATGAGTAAGAATATATATACAAATCATTTATATTTTTTAGCGATTTTTTGTTTATTCACTCTAAATAAGTCTAATTAATAATTTATTTAAATTTTATTATTAGTACGTATAGATAAAATTATTGAATTAATTTAATAAATTGTTTTGTTTTAAGCGCATCTGAGGAATAAATGTCAACTTTATGGCAATCTGTTTTACAAAATCAAACATTCAAAGGATTTATATCAGGCGTGTATTTGACGATCCAAGGCAAGTAGTTCGTGACGTCGGTGAACAACGAGTACAGCTTAGGGTTGCACACCTTGACTACGTTTCCATTAGCTCTGGTCACCTTTTTCGTTGGCCCCACACCAAGGATGCCGCGCAGAAAGTGGCGTTGGAACTTTTCGTTGAACAGAGAAAATCCGCCACCACCGTCTCCGATGCACGCCCCTCTTTCTGCATTTCAAGTTGTATTTAGTTGCTCCAAAATAAGATGATTAAAAAAATATAAACTTACGACTGTCGGGAAATCCAGCGCAAAAGTTTTCTCTTGGTCGCAAGTTGAGAGAGAAGAAGCGGCGCCTGCTCTCGTAACAATCCTCGTAAGAAATCACTTTCAAATTCGACTCTTGAAGAATATCTGACTTCACCGCGTCTGAATTTAATCCCCAGCCGACCACCTGTAGTCAAATTTACTCACCTTTTATCAAGTTATAAAATAAAATCAACGGATATGATAAAATATATTTGATGGACGCACTAATTTTATTCTGACAAATTCAAAAAGAGGTAATTTTTTTTGTTTTTTTTTATCAGACACTCGTATATTATATAATATATATTCAAATAATATACTTTTTTTCCTTTGAAAATAATCTTTGTTTGGCAAAAATGAAAAATGAGACTATCAGTAAACAAATATTTAGAACATCTTTTATACCTCGTTTGTTTAAAATTTATTCAAACCTCCTTCAAAGCAAGATAAGATAAATCTTATCTTAACCTCCACTAAATTAAATTATTTACAAAAAATTCAATTTTAATCTATCAAAGTTAAAGTTTCAGTTTTTAACTTTTCCTTCTATTGTACTAAAATTAGGCTATTTTGTTATTTTTTTACTCAAATATTACTAAAAAGACAATCGAATATAATTTTACTGCTTTTAAATCACTGCGCATACCGTGCCCATCCTGTTGACAATTTTGCGCAGACCGTAATTCCAGTTCCACAAACAAATGGGCCGCACGTCATCACTGAGCTGAACTTCGTCGTTCAAGATGACCAGGGCAATATTATCTTTGAAGTCGCCCCTACTGTGGTTGTAGCCAGGGTGCACCAAAACTCTGTAAGCCTGTCAGGATCATCGTTAGTTTCTACTTCTAATTTTAATCATTAATAGTTATTAAAAAATTTAAAATAAATGGTCCAAATTCACGAACATTCCAAATAGCACATCCAAATTTGGTAAAATTAAAAAATCATTGTTGATTTATAAATTTCAAAATATGGAACAACTGTATTGATTTTTTTCATGGCATTTTTGAAAATATTAGTCGCTGAATAAGCTTTAAAATATCTACGAGACAATAAAAAAATAATATTAGGCAAAAAAATACACTTCTTTGCTTAGAGAAATAAAATATAATTACAATTTTCATTTGAACAGGTAGTGAATTTGATTAATGTGAATGGTTTTCCTGTTTAAATTTTTTAATATTCAGAGAAGAATTTATCTGAAAAAGTAATTATTTAAAAAATTAAATATAATTTTTTGAGTGTTTTCAATATGAAAGATAGTTATTATTTCTAATTTATGATTTTACCTGCAACTCCTGCTGCACACCAACGCGCGCCGCTGACGAGCGGTTGTGCATTCCGAAAGACACTTCCACGTCTCTTGCTCTGAAACGAAATCCATTTTCGCCGAAAAAACAATGTGCCGCTGAAAAAATCAATTGAAAATTTTAAAAAGTTTGTCACAAAATATCTTAAAACGTTTTTAAGGCTTTTTAGGCTTAAAACGGGATTTCAGATCGAAATTTAATTGTTCTTCTATTGATTTAAAAGTTATAAAAAGGTTTTTATTTTCTTTAAGCCACCTGAGGCCATACCAGAAATGCCAGATATTACCCGAAAACACATTTAAAATTGTTTGACGCCCATTTTAATATGAAAAAAAAAAAAAATGGAAGAATAAACAACAAAAATGCCAAAATTGAAACCTGTGATGACGACCTTTCTGGAAATGAGGGTTGCTACACAGAAATCCACCGAACGTTGTTTGCCAGAGCGTCGGGACAAACTAACATGCCACGGGTGTTCGCCTGGCACCGCAATTCGCCGTTCGAAAGCTGAATCATCTTCTAATAAATCATAGTATTCATAGTCATCTAACTTCGCTTTAATTCCACACTCGGGAAAACTCTGATCGGGACCAAAAGCTAATAATTCAAATTATTATTTAAATTTCTGATGTTCAAAGGAAAACCTGTTCTGGTTTTGAGTCTGGGGATTTCGGGCATCAAAGCGAGGTCGACGGACGCCGAGACGATTTGGCTTGTTGCGGGCAAAAGGTCGAGCCACTTGACCGGTTCATAGAAGATGGAAGGACCCACCGCACGCAAATAAAAGCGACCCTCACGCTCGATGAACAAATACGAGGGCCAGTCAACTGTTCAATTACAGATCAGAATATAAAAATTTCAGGGCACTACATTTTTCTAGCTTAGTTTGATGAATTGTCCAATTTGGTGAATGTGGTATAGAAAATTTATTTTGATTTTAGGTATATATATTTGCAAAAATCCGCAAATCAACAAAAAGAGATTTTAATTATTTCATATTTGGCACTTTGTGAAGTTGTAATTTAAACTTGTACAAAAATATTATATTATTAATGATACATTCTATATATTATGCTAATTTTTTTGAATTGAAAAGATTCAGAGACTATATTTTTAATTTTTCAAGGTAAAATATAGAAAATATTCATGTTAACTGGAAAATACAATAAAACAGTAAGTAAATAAAATGAACCATTGCAAATTAGAAGTAAAATTAGCTTTCAATGACACGTAAATATTCACCTAAATAAAGTTTCAATTTTTCCAATTATTAGTGTTATCAAAAATATTTGAAACGCTTCTTAACAAGTACGTACAATAAAATATAAAATTAATTCCAGCTTGATTTGACCTACCTTTTTTGATTAGCGATGCGGAGCAAATCGATTTGCCATACAGGTCGCACTCCCACTTATCAATTTGTTTTCTCCGGTAACACCTTTCCTCCGGTACAAAATCTGCCTTTTTAAACATTGGTCCTCTCTGGTTTGGTAAAAATATTAAATTTCAATTTAGGTCTTTTCTTACAATTAATTAATTTCTAAACAATTTAAATTCACCAGTATACTGCAAACATATTTTATAATAAGCCTGCTAACTTCTTCAAAGCAGGAAAAAATTGGTTCATTTTGTTGATTTGCAAGAAATTACAAGGAAAACCGGAATTCAATTAAGAGTTACACAAAGAGTGAATTTACACTGACCGCCTGTCCGTCGAAATTAAAAATGATTTGGTCATCGTCATTTTGGTTGTCGCGGTTCCATAAACAGACTGGCTTCAAACTCTGTGTTAATTTCACTTTCTCGATTCGCCAAACGGTGATGGTTTTTGAGAAATACGTGCCATGCCTCACTTCCACTTTTTTCCCACCAAGTAGCTGAAATGTGGATTAATTATTCAAATCTTTATTTCTATTTAAAAATATGAGAAGAACCACCAAATTTGTCTCATAAGTAATCTATTAATTAATTTCAGGTTTTGACAAAGAAATTACGTAGTTGAGGAATCTTTTAAGTTGAAAAGTGATTGATTGATCAAATTTTCAATCAGATCACATATATAGAATTTCCTAAAAAAAGTTTGATAAAAATTCTTTAACGATTTTTAAAGCCCCTTTAATTTTATTAAAATTCACCTTCTGGGTGAGCAAACCTCGTTTCTTCAAGCATGTCTCGTCATCATCTTCATCAACACAATCGCCTCCGAATAATTTAATATCCACTCCATTTTTGAAACTGTTGAACAGAGCCTCCGATTCATCTGATAACAAAGCCCAAAAATTTATTAAAATTAAATAACTCTAGATTTTCTGAAAATACGTACAGTTCATGATGAACGTCTGGTCCGACAGGAGAACACCCCATCCATGAAAAGCATTGTAAAATTTGAAGTAAACATGCCACGGAGGTGTTTGACTTTCCTCGTTTAATTCCCAACGGCCGCAATCTTTGAAACTCAGATTTTCTCCATCAGTTAAACTGAAAACTGAAATAAAAACGCCATTTGTAATCAAGTTTATCAATATTAAAACTCTTTATTAGAAGTATAAAATAAACATGTAAAATTGTATTATACGTAATACCTGGAGCTTGAAAGTAAAAGTTTCTCTCATAATTCCAGCAGTCGGTTATGTTGATTTTCTGTAATATAAGAAAATCGTAAATTTTTTTATTTTTTAGAAAAAATCCAATAAAAAGCAAAGAATCAAGATGCTTTGATTATTTAACTCACCTTTCTAGCTTCATTCCACTCTTCTTTACTCAACTTGGAAGAGGTTGGAGCGAAAAAAGAGCAGAGCGCGACCAACCAAATAGATTCACGGTTCATCACAATTTTCAATCAATTACAACTTACTAAATTATATTTTAAAATAATTAGAATTCATTATTTAAATAGGTGTACTATTTCATAAATTCTTTTGTTTAGCTCAAATTTAATTCCAAATTCCAAATGAATGAATGAATTACTTATAACTTTGATCAGTTTTAAAGTTAAAAAAATATTAAATTTATTTTCATTCATCTATTTTATTTTCATTAAAACATGTCTCCTTTTTGGGACTTGTATAAAATCACTCACGATGATCTTTAAACTTCACTTCCTGCCTTTCTTTGCAGAGTTTCACAAAAAACAGTCTCTGCCCAAGTTCGCCCAAGTTCAAATTTATTGCAAAAATTCCTTTGCAAAATAAATTTATCAAAATAAAATAAAATAATGATTCTTAATAATACTTGCTGTGATGTAGAAATACAAGTGCACACGTCTTGTTTCAAGTCGATGTACTGCTTAAGTAAATACTGCAGTTTGCTTTTCAATGCTGATTGACCCAAAAATTGGGTATTTCCCCCGGTGAAATAACGGCAAATCCACATCAGCGTCCCACTTTTTAAAAATAAAAAATTCATCCCGTTGCGACGAGAAAACGAAAGTGGTTTTATTTCTTCAGTCTTTATCACAGCAATGTGACATTATTTGATGTCCAGTTGACGTTGTAAAGCTCGTGAGAAGTATTTCGAGTAAAATAAAATTTTCTTGAAAACAAGAATAAATGAAAAAATATGAGATGGCAGGAAAGAGATAGGTTTAATTTTTTCTTCCTAAACAAATCTTGATATACATATAAATTTAAAAGATTGTTTTTTTTTTACAAAAGTAAAAATCTGGTAAAAATATGTTTAGCCATTATAGAAAAATTTTTCAAAATAAAAAAAGAGATAAAATAATTATGCATTTTTTTTCTTTTTTTAATAAATTGAAAGATTTTTTACGTAATTATTCTTTATATGGCAGTAAATTAATTCTTAGAATGTTTATAATAATCTTGACGTCAAAAATTTTTTTAAAACTTTTTAAACTATAAATAATACATACAATTATCATACCCAGCATGTACCGCTCATTGTCAGTTGTGCTGTGCATATGCCGAGGATCTCTAAGTCTCAAGACCGGTTTGCTGAACATTCGCACAAGTCGTCGCTCGCTAATTAGCTCGGACTCGTAATGCCAAACGTCAGCTGTTTCTACTTTTGTCGTTTGATGCAAATGAGTATAAGATATTTTTTTTAATGTTAGCAAAAAAATTATCCACGAAAATAATCATCTCGATCCTGTTTAATATCTCATTGTGAAAAATCTAAAGCCAGCAATATTTTAACTCTGATAAAGAATAATAGTAACAATAAATTTCAGCAATCAACATTTAACCAAGTTCATCGCTAGTTATGCAACCGGATTTAATATCATGTATCTCCGGTTCTGGCAGGCTTTCCGAAGCCTTACAGAGCAGATGCTTGTTTATTCCAGTAAATAAGCAGCTATATAAATTAGTCTTTGCCTTGAAAAATAAACTTAAAATTAATTTAAAGTGCTGATAAGATGGATATATTAAATTGTCTTGATTGCGTTTCATTTTTTTATTACGAAAACGTTTTCTCACTTAAGAACATTGGCATTTCCGTCAATTTCAGTGAATATTTCAGATCAATGGGCTGCTAAATTGTGTGCCGAGCCAACCTCACCTGATGATCAAATTATTCAAATTGCTTCACAACAAAATCACGCACCTCCAATTTAGTTCATTAATTTGCCACCCCTTCCTATCCCGTTTTTGTGATTTTATTTTATGATCGATGAACTTCACAAAGAAGAGACAAGCATTATTTCACCATCACACAAAAAAATCTAAATAAGGGTGTAAAAAATCCATTGCAAACTGAAGGTATAATTTCAGAACCTCCTTCCTCTTCTTTCCCTGTACAGTAAAATTTAAGAATGAATGGTGTGTCGCGTCTTCTCTTGACTTGCTGTCGACGCAAAAAGTGCACTTTTCCGTTTGTGGCGGCGTTAATCTGGCGCACGAGGAGTGACGCGAATAAAAAAGCAGGAAAGAGATAATGCTAATTGATGAAAGTGTGCGACTCCCACGCTCTTTTCTCTCTCCAAGATAAAACCGACCATCAGTCTCTCTTAATTATTGTTGGCGCGGCCGGACGAGAGAAAAGGCGCAAATTTAAGAGGCGCATGAATATTTATCGCTCATTTCACGGTGGACGCTCTTAATTTTCCATTCGATCGAACCCCGCTGGCTTCACAAACTTTTAGAATCCGATATGTAGAGGAAACCCCTCAAAAAGTTGGGAGAAAATTTCGTGTTCAAAGTTTCTATTAACAGTTGATCGTACTTGTTAGTCCAAAATCTAAGTCAAATTATTAAAATTTGTAGATTTTTTTAAATGATATATAAAATACATTTTATATAATTTTATTTATCTACAGCAAATGTTTCATTCATACTTCGTTTTAAAAAAAATTAAAAGTATAAATATAAATATATAAATTGAAATATGTCCGAATTTTGGCTTCGTAATTTTGAAAATTCCAAAATCATTTGCTTTAAAACTGTGCGGCCAATCAAGTTCAGGAGACATCGCGAATTGCATAACATCGTTGGGGTGGTGCAGAGAAATGAACTCCCGCGGCGATTGGCATTGACCTGATTCGCGTGCCCGTGAATTCATTCAAATGCACCAAAGCAAAACAAACCGAATCACGATACTCGCGTTCAATTATCAATTATACTGACTATGAGAGGCGACGTGCTTGCCCCGTCCAGGCACTTTCCACCCAGGTTGGCCTCAATTTCCAGCTTCAACCAAAATCACAATGGCAAAAAAAATTTAATTTATGAGTGGCAAACAATTCATTAAGGTAATTAAGGAAGCTTTTCTTTGCAGATGGAGCCAAAAATTTAGTAATTGCAATTATTTCCATATTTTGAGAAACAATTTTGATTAAAACATCGATAAAAAAAAATGATCATTATCTTTTGTAATTTCTGAAACAATACTTATTGTGGAAATGAAGAGATCGGGCTTTTTCCATGATCATCTCGTTGAGTGTCAACTTCTTCAAACAAAAATACTTATTGTGTAACACAAATAGAGTTTTCTGTTTTGATCGTAATAATTAATTAATTTCTTCATAAACTTTTGTTAATTTTCAAATAAGAAAAGAGGTTTAATTAATTTTTATTAAAAATTATGTATTCTAAATATTGTGTTTTCCGTAAAAACAAATTCATTCCTTGTTAAATATTTTAAACTATTCTTTCATTTGTAACATTTGCACTGATTAAATTAATTTTTGAATTTTCACACATTTCACTTGTGATTATGTTCCTAATTCCGCTTGATCAAATGGCGAAATGGTGCGCGATTTGTGAATGAAGAAGTGCTGCGGCGCGAGGCTGGGAAAGGGTGGGTGGGAGGGGTCGCGGGGGTGGCCGTTATAAGGGGCGGCAGGTGGCGGCGCGGCCTCACAGCTCGCACCACCGACCGACCGACTGACTCTGCAGCCGCTCTCCCAACCTGCACCACCCTTCTTCTCCGACGCACCAATCAAGGTAACAAATTTGTTTACGTATACATACAAAAATTGTATAAAAGAAATTTCCCCGAGAAATATTTTAATTAATTTCCAAAACTTTTGCTTTCGAAATCCAAAGATTATGCCAAACGAAAACATTATCGTCTCTCTGTGTTATTTCCGAAGCGCGGCTGTGATTAAAAGTAAACATGGCGTTGAGTGGATTTCGTCTCATGACTCTGTTGTTGCACACGCCGGATTAAATTTAATCCGTGTTGACGCGCCTGATCATAATTAATTAACTCACTCTTCATCCTTTTATATATAATTGAATCAATTAGGGTTGCGAAATGAAGTTGATTATCTTTTTTCTATTGAAATGCATTCAAAAATCAAGTTAAAATTTAAAAAAAACTGTCCCTAACTTGGAACGCGTATTGGCCTGCGGCGTTGAATAAAATATTTACTTCAACAACTAAAACAGCTGAATAAATAAAATTGTAAATGATTTTTGTTTTTCTCGTTGAAGATCAAACAAAAAGGTTTGGCTACAAACAGACAAACTTTCAGAAAATTTAGCAGAGTGGAAATATAATTTGAATTATGAAGGAGAGGAAAGTTCGATCTTCAAATTTTAATTCGATACAATTAGCTCTACGCTTCAAAATCCACGCTTAAATGATCAGAGGACCAAGATCTTATTCAAATAAATAATTCAGATTCTACAAATTTTTGAAGATATTTAGACAGTTTCTTATGGTTTTAATGGCTTTTCCAAGAAAAATAATGGTGGGTAAATGCATATTTGTTCTTTTCGCTCGCTTTCAAAATAACAAAAGTTCACTTTCCAATTTACAGTGAGAGACCTGAAAATATTGGGAAAACTTGTTTAACTCTGCAACTTAGCAGAAAAATTATTCTTGTCTCTTGCCTTCTGTAAATGGTTTCTTGCCTGCAAATCCTTCAAACTGAAATTTCTAATAATTTTTCATTAGAATTTTAAGAAGGCCTCGGTTATTGATACGATTTTGTTTTGATATCAGGCGTCTTAGTTTTGCATTCATTCTTCCTTTTTCATAATAAACAAAATATTGAATAAAAAAAAAGGAAAAAAGGAAAATATTTAAGCTTGCTGCCCTCTTAATTGCAACATATAATTTTTTACATGACGCTAATGAGGCAACGTGTCGCACACGCGGAAATAAAACTTTTTTGTTTTTCTGTGGCTTTCTCGCAGTCAGGATTAATTAGCGGATTTTTGAAGTGGAGCGCGTCGGAGTGAACCAGAAAAATCAACAGTCTCCTACCTGAAACATACAGAAATAAAAATAATAATTAAATATCTTTTTTCTATAATATATGCCAAAAATTTTAGTTAATGGAAAACAAGCTTCCCACTTTTTATTGCAAGAGATTAATTTGAAAATGTTTGCCGTGGAAGAAGGGAAAAGAGCGGATCATAATCCTTTGGCAAACAGTTTTCCCGCTCTCGTCCGACAGAAAAACGTACGCGTGTTTGCTCTGTTCATATTTAATATCAAACGCGCAAAGATTAATGTATTTGTATACAAAAGCGCCGTTTTCCTGGAAATTCTAGAAACGTTTCAGATTCAAAGGTGCGGGACTCTGCAAGAAACGCGAACGTTTGACACATCGGACTTGCAAATTAAGGTGGGGCTCTCGATTGCGTCACACGGCAGAAAAAAATGTTTGAATCAATTCGCAGACAAAGGCTGATTTCTGACGAGCTTCATCACCTTTTTTTCTTGAACACTTTAAATTTATTCTGCAAATATACCAAAGCAAATAGTCAGAGAAGATTAATAACAAATTCTGGTCCGTTTCAATTTCTTTTTTTTTTAAATTTACCTCCCATTTTTAAGATTACTTTTAAAATCAGTTTTTCTGTGAGTTTTCATACAAAAATTTAAAAAAATCCTATAGAACTGAATCAAAAACTAATTTAAATCAGACACTGCAATCTGCAATAAATTTAAAAGGAAAATTTAAGTGAATATCTTTGTCATAATGTTGCTCAATATTGCTATTGTTTAAGAGCTAAAATTTGTTGAGTTGAAAAAAGAAGACAATTTTCTGTTATATCAATTCAATTTTTCAAATTAGAAAATTTACTTCGTGACGTATTCGCGAATAAAGTGGCATTTCTTTCAATTTAGAATAAAGTAATTAAATTTACTTTTAATAGGTTTTCCAATAATTAATTTTTTCATAGTTTAGCCGATTTTTGTATGTTCTTTATAAATAAATTAATGTCGGATATTTAAATTTTTCTAGATATATTAAAGTGTAAAATAATTAAAATCAGAAAGCAACATAATTTACATGAAGTTTGAAGTTCAAAATTTTAAATTTCGCTTCACAATTAACACTTGTTTCTTGTAAAATTTAATTTGTTTTTTTAGCTGTTATGAATTAATTTATTAATCAGATTTAAAATTTATTCTGCATGATTATTTCAATGCTTCAAATGAGGGGAAATAATTTTTATACTAGAATATGTAAAAGAATCACACAAAAAACGATTTTGGATATAGAAAAATCTCCCTTTCAGCATTCTGGGTTTTACATTTGCAATGGAAAATTCTCTCAAGAATTGATTTCCCTTTCGTCCGGCGTCCACTTTCGGATGCAATATCTATTATATTTTTTCTCTAAAGAGTTTGTTTTGGTTGTGGGAGATGCGAAGAGGCCGATTTCGACGCAACAAACAAAACGCGCTGTTTGTTTTGCGGAGAGATCACATTAAAAGATAGATTTGCTGACAACTAATTTGCGACGGACGTGAATCGAGAAAGCCGAGTGGAAAAGTCGGGGCTTAGCGCGCCGATCGCTGCGATAACTTTGCTTCTGACCTTTTTCCAAAGCAAAATCATTTTCCTCAGACGGATCTCTTTCCCGACGAGAGGGATAGGAAAAGGTGGAGGCCTTTCTTTGACTCGCAACAAGAACAAAAAAGAAGCACGCAAATTGGAAACCTTCTCTGAAAAACGCACCCGTTTTCCACTAACCCGCTTTTCACTTCTGGCGTTCAAAGAAAAAGCAATTCTTTGCGGCGAGATCGAATTTCAAGATATGCAAAAAAAAATTAGCTTCTTTAATGGTGAAAAAATCTAGCAGTTAAAATTTTCACTAGTTTTTACGAGTTTGATGGGGGGAAATCAACAGAACATAATGAAGCGGTAAATGGTGAATAAAAACCGCAGTTTGAATGGGGAGGCTCTCGACGAGTTTGGCGGCGCCGGAGTTTTTTCGCCCGCGCCACTCAATAATAAACAAAAACTTTTCCACTCGTCGTCGCTCGCTGAAGCGCAAACTTTGAGAGGCGGATTTGCACGGAATTTTGAGCCACGTGCCAATCAAAGTGTCAATACCAATTTTAAAAATTTTCAATCATATCGCTACGTCTATGTCAGTCAATCAAAATGCACTCTCGGAAACGATATTGAATTTTTCTCCTCCATGAGACTTTATTGCCACTTTGAGCTCGAAAAATGCAATATCTATTTCAAGTGCGATCCTTTTGCATAATTACAGCTTGACCCTTTCATTTCAAATGAGGCCATCAACATTTTGCAATAATCTTCTATCTGGACACATAGATTTTTAAATAATTTATTTATATGATTTTTTTCTTTCAAATTTTCAAGCAGTTTGCACCATTAATTTTATTCCTGTCCGAACAAGCATAAAATCTGTCAATATCAAATGAAAAAATTAGTAAATCAGTCAATTTTTGTGTCATTATTCATTATGTTTTGAAGGAAAGTTTATAACTTCTTTGAAGTAAATGGAATTATTTTCATATAAAGCAATTTTTTATAAAAGAATAAGGAAAAATAGTGAGATCTAATTTGAACAATGTGGTTGTGCAGATAAAAAAGATGTCAATAAAAAGATTTGTTAATTAAACACATTTGCAAATTCTTTAAAATTTAATAAGATTTAATTTATTCCTTTCAATAAGGAGGTTTTTAATTAAAAAATAAACTACACAGCACTTCACAGAATGAATACTTATTAATTTTTTTCATTTGACATATGAATCACTTTTTGGCACTTCTAGGGGAATTTTCAACACCAATTAAACGTTTATTATCTTCAAGTACTATAAAATATTTATTCATAAACGGGTTGAACTTCTCCGTGGAAGTATTTTTTCTGAATTTTTTGGAGTCGTATGAAGGTGGTTTGGGGAAATTTTTAATTCTTAATAATTTTAGCATACAACACAATCAAAGGGAAAAGTTTTTGCAGGAAAATTATTAATTAAATTATAAAAAAAAAAATCATTTATATTTTTATTGATAGAGAGTTTCCAGTAATACTCACATGATGACTATGGAAATGATCTTGTTATAACTGATTTAAATTGTAGAAAAATAAAAATCACTATTACTAGATTAACAACATGAGATTCTGAAATTTTAATGAAAAATAACGAAACAGAACTATTTTAGATCATAATCTTCTCAAATAATTCTATGTACAACATTTTTAAGCGAGCTCGCCGAGCTCTCTCCATTTATATTTTTATTCGTAAAGTTGTGGGAATCAAGTGCGTCGGAGTGTCAGGCGGAATAAAGCCTGTTGGGTTTTGATTGAGAGATTCGCTGGTAGATAGATTTCGATTTTTTGCTCCCTTGGCTCCTCGCGTGTGCAACGGAGACTGGCTTTGTCAAAACAAAGCAAAGTGATGTTGTTTGATTTTCCGGCCTCAGAAAAGGAAGGAATTTGCGTCGCAGAAACTGGTCAGAGAGGGTGAGGCCAACCAACGGTTGGACTTTGTGGCCAACTTTGCGGTTTGCATTTCCAGGTGAAAAGCGAATTGCGAAACGGAAATTACGGAAACAGGACGAAGCCAACCAGAGTTCAACAAACTTTTGTCAAGCGCAAAACACACTTATTCGTAAAGTGCGCAAATAACTTTTGAATATATACATACTTTGATAATTCAAAAATTTCTACAGGAGATTTGTTAAGATTAGGTTTACAATTAGGCAAACAAATTGGAAGTTC